GCAGCTCTTTCTCTGCACACAGAGTTCACAGATGCATCACATACACAACACAGTAGCTGATGAAGTAAAACCGCCACAGTTCCATTGTGTTTACGGCATCTTCAGAATGAAGCATCCAGGCCTCCTCACCATTGATGGGCACATCAAGGAAGAGTCTGTTGGAGATGTCGACCACGGTGCAGCGCAGCAAACTGAGGACGTCAACGTGACCCAAACCGTCCAGGTCGTCCAGGTGAGTCTGTGTGGAGGAGACGCAGACCTCCACTGTCTTCTGCAAACCTGGACCTGTCAGAGCTGACGCAAAAACACGTTTCAGGACTCAGATGCTGAATAACTGGACCGGTGAATTTGCCTGAAGGTGTTGAAATGTTACCTCTGGTGAAATGGGTGCGTATCTTTTTCCAGAGAGACACATTGTTGTTGAAGATGATGCCTCTCTCATACATGCCGATGCAGCTCAGTCCCTGCTTGCTCCCAAAACGTGACGTGTAATGTCCATTCTTCAGCACGTGGTAAACGGCTGATGCCCTTATAGTGAAAATAAAGAATAAATCACTTACAGATTGTAAATTATCATGAGAAATATACATAGAATATACATGAGAGTTAAGGACAAACCTGCTGAGGATGAGTGTCTCCTCTCCATCGATCCAGACTCTGACAATGTCTCCATACCTCTTGTTGTAGTAGTTGCAGGCTGTGCCTATACCCGTCCAGATGAATCTCACATATGAGAGAAGTGGCCCCAAACCCAGACAGAAAGGTGGACCTGTTGTAGCAATAAATAAACTTCAGCACTGGCACAATTCAAGAAACTGTGAAGTGTCAAAGATCGACTACAGAACCCACCTGGCACAGTTCTCCTGTCTGTGTGGCTCCAGGCGACCAGCAGCACACACACGAGCAGGATCAAGGTCCTGGAGGCCACCGAGATGCCCGGTGTTCTCACTGCGGTGGCGTTTGGGGACGTGGAGACCAGGTCCCCCAGTGCGGCCCCCAGACCTACGGGAGTCATCGCCAGGTCACAGGCAGGGATCCGATCCATGGGAAGACTTGAATTTTAAAAACAACCTGCACAAGACTGCACAAACTGGGCGACCAGGCCAAGTGATGAAAGCTGCCCCAACACTCCCTTCCTCTTTATAAGCAGTCGGAGCTGGTTACAAGCCAGGTCAGGGTAATGCAAACGTCACAACAGAGCAGGGAAATGGTAAACAATACACTTCTAACCTTGAGGGGCTGGATTTGTGCCAGCGCCCTTGAGCGAACAGGACTTTGTTCCGTGTGTATGTTGTGATGCGCTGTTGGAACAAGTTTCTACGATGTGTGTATTTGACGTTTCGATGATGAGAAGCAAGCGTCACTCCTCCGCTGAACATCAAAAGGATCTGGTTGGAATGCTGCAAACTAACACCTGGGCTCTGAGATCAGATCTGAGTTATTGTTTGCGTTATTGTATCAGTCTGGAAAAATTTCATTTTTTTCTGCTGGTTAAGATTCTTTCAGTTTTTTCTAGCAAAGGAGAAAGACAAAAGAAAGCAGAATTTCTAAATGCCAGTTTTACAAATGTTTAATATATTTTTTTTATGATTAATACTGAAACAATCTCTTGTTAAGTTTCCTCTGCTTTTGAATGATCGTAGAATTGATCATAGTATTTCTAATATTCCTCCATTAGACTACCAGTAGATGGAGAAGCAGAGCTGTGATCTATATTAAAGATGTTTACTGTGACATAAGCTGCAAAAACAAAACCCTATACTACTACTGTTGCTGAGCTCTTTGTTAAAGTCAGGAGGTTAAATAATTAGATTCTCTTTTTGATTGATTGATGCAGTTCATTTTCCTTGATTTAAAGTTGTACTTATTTCATGTCATATTTTACTGGCAGATACCACAATAAAATTTTATTTTACAGATTATTTTCCAGGTTTCTGTCCAAACCTCTGACACCATCACGTTCCCAGTGTGTTATATTAATTTATATAGAATTTTTCAGCTTTTTTATTTTCTGCTGTCTTTGTTAACATATTGTTTCTACTGTGGAACTTGTGTAATTTGTAACCAACATGTATTAACTTGTAATGTAATTTATATATGAATAAATGAAACACATATTGTGTTTCAAATATCAACATAAATGTTTATTTTACATGTTTACATTTAGTTAGTATTTTATACATAAACCTTTTGATTAACTAATTATTATTATTATTATTGTTGTTTTATTATTGATTTTTATGAACTATGAAGTATGTGCACCTTGTCTTTTACTGCTGCATATTTTTTAAGTTCAGCCAGGTGTATTTAATTTAATTTAATTTAATTAAATAAATACATTTTTATTAATTAATTATTTTTATTTTTCAGTTTTCGTCAGACGTCATGCTCTCTGGCTTAGGTCCTGCCTTTGTTCCATTTGCTCTCTCTGTATAAAGAACTCACTCACCGCCCACACTCGAGTGAAAGAATGTGAGATGGTTCAAATAGCCGACTGTGTGCTGAGGCCCTGCCTGGAGAACGATGCCCTATGCGATGGCTTATTAGACCCAGATTGTTCTGCATGATAGCGCAGAGAACCCCCCCCCCCCCCCCCCCCCCGTGTAGCACAAAAGCTGAAGTTAATGTAACCTTGTGTCTGGCCTCTGTGTTGTGGTCAACCACATCTTTGTCTCCACCACATGTGTAGGGATTTGTTCAGAAAGTGAACAAACAAGACCAACAGAAAGCCAATAAATGTCAGCACATGTACAAAGTCTGAGAAGAATCTATGACTCCTCTGTTCCCTTCCGTTTTCACTTTATCATCTTTGTAGACAGGGAACATTCCACAAGCGTCTTTAGGTTGTTTGTTTGTAAGTCGTAAAATGAGCATATGATGGAGACACGGAGAGATGACGTGCAGGAGAAAAGAGGATGTGAATTCAGACAATGAGCTTTCCGCTGCGTGACCTCGAGGAATTGATTGAAGAATTGACAAATACAGAAGATAACTACAAATACTGTGATTTAGGTCCAATGGACAGTGCAGCTCCACTCTTCTGTACTAATCATAGCTTAACGTGAAAGATCTGGGAATTTCCTGAGCAGCATCTATTTCTCATTGGGCTGAATTCTAATTCAGATTATTTTGTGACGTTAAATATAGATTTTATTCTTTCTTTCGTTTTCTTTAATGTGGCAAATTTAAGGCTGTAGTGATTTTTATTCTATGACTAAACTTTACAGTCTAAACTTGTGAAGCTTCATATATAAAAGTGCAATGAAAAGCAGAGCTGAACTTTGTTTCACAGACAGAGGAGGTGGGTGGGAGGATTAAGTTTGTAGGACGACACATCAGGTCATCTTTCTGTCCTTGGCCTGGAGCAGCAGGAGGGACTCGGACTCCTCAGCTCGAGGAGAGATAAGGCTGCTTTCAAAGCAGCTGTGCCCTAGGGAGGAGGAAACAACCAGAGAAAGGTCTGCAAGAGGTGGCGAAGAATATGGATGGACGTGTTGACATATTTCCACCACATTATTCATTTTATTGGATCGAAATCATTGCAGCTGTCCAGATAAAACATCACCTTTAATGTCACTGTAGTTCAATCCCCTGCTTCTCTCTGCTTTTCACTCACAGTGTCACTCAGCAGCGCTCGGAGCAAAGTGAGTGAGAGGCAACAAAGAACGACCTCAAGCTCTATACTGTGTATATGTACACATGCACACATCTGCTGGAGCAATTCAAGCCGTCAGTGACCTACAGCCTCAGGCAGGAGCACACACAACACACACACACACACACACACACACACACACACACACAGAGAGAGGCAGGAAGAGGTAAAGAGTGGTGAAGGAAAGCAGACATGACAACAATACTGTTAGAGATTGAGGTTGTGAGCTCTGTTGTCGTGACCTGGAGTGTGTGTGTGTGTGTGTGTGTGTGTGTGTGTGTGAGTGTGTACTTATTTCTGTCTTTTTGCAACACAACACTAAACCTGTAAGGACCAGTAGACCTCGTGAGGACCAAGGCCTAGTTTTAAAGAGGTGAAATTTGATTTTTGAGGTCCTGGTTAAGTCAGTGATAAGATGTGAAATGTGATTAAATTAAAGGGTGAACTATCCCTTTGAGGTGAGGCATGAATTGGCCATGGTTAATTTTAGGGATAAGGTTTTTGGTTTGGTTGTGCACAATGAAAGTCAAAGTTTTAAAAGGACAGCAGCACAAACCCCTCGTGTGTGTGTGTGTGTGTGTGTGTGTGTGTGTGTTATATGGGGCATAACATTGCTGCAAGGGCATGTGGGTCAGCTACATGAGTCCAGCACTGCTCCTTGTCAGCAGACAGGCCAATTAACTGACTTGGGTAGATACAGAAAACACATCAGCTACACCTATAACTAAAAAAACGTAAATTACAGTCTTTCACACTGAAAATGCTTCAAATGATGCAATATGTTTGTTAAACTGTCATTATTTTGAGCCAGAATCAGAGCAAAGGAAACGGGTCATTGGTGAATGGAAGATGTGAAGATGTGACACGGGGAGAAAGGACTGCATCTATCAGGGGGAGACATGGAGGGAGGAGGTGGAGAAGAGGGGAAGAAGTGGAACAAAGTATGATGTTGATGGATTTTGATAGCACGGGTTTTCTCTTCAGTCAAAAAATTGGGTTTGTAGTAATAATATTGATATAAAATATTAGTACTATACGAGAATAGTAATAAACGTCTTCTGCCACAGTTTGTCTGGTGCAATGCATGTGTTCACATGTGGTGTTTTTCAGTGTTTTGTCTGTGTGTGTGTGTGTGTGTGTGTGTGTGTGTGTGTGTGTGTGTGTGTGTGTGTGTGTGTGTGTGTGTGTGTGTGATGTCAGTCTGCCCACGGCGGTGCAGTAGAATGGGTTGTGATGAATATAAATCAGGTGACTGAACAGGCGGGGGTTTCTTCCCAGACAAGCTCAGAAGATTGTGTAATGCCCACTCCTACATTACTGGTCTGAATGTGCACACACACGTACACAAAACCCTTCTCCACTTGGTGGACAACACAACAAGCAGTGTGTGTACCAGTCTGCCTTCAGATACACCACTCGGAGCTCAGACCACGCAGCTGACTGGACTCGATTTGAAGATTTCCCAAAAATTTGGACGGGACCTTGACTTACAGCAAAAGAAACCTCCTCTCTGTTGGATTCTTGTGTCTTTAACTGGTTTGGTTTGAGTTTTGGTTTGAGTTTTGCGGCAGCATCTTGGACCACGAGGTGATAAAACTGCATCTCTGCTCTTTGAGATCTGTGTTTTTACATTCACTGCTGTACTGGACTTGTGTTCCCCTGTGAATGCTGAGGTTGGCAGGTGACCCCCAGAAAAGAGGAGGTGAAGTGGTGACCATGTGGATCCCGACACCGAGCATGACTCTCCCTCAGCGGATGGTGCTGTACGGGACGTGCGTTGTGGCGTTGATGAACTCTGTGGGCCTGCTGGTGCTGTTAGTCCGGCAGAATCAGCAGCATTCCAGGCTGGAGCAGACGGAGGCAAGGTTGGTGGAGGTGGAGCAAAGCTCGGTGGTGGAGTTCCTCCAGGAGGTGCCCAGGGGAGCGGCAGGGCTGCGGGCAAACACAGAGCAACATCCACAGTACCAGTACTCCAGGAACAAGAGGAGTGAGGAGCTGGAGAAGAAGCTACAGAAGGAGCTTCAGCAGGAAGAGGAACAGGCGCTCTATCCGCAGGAGGTCAGTCAGGAGGTCAGCCAGGAGGTGGGAGAGGAGACAGAGAAGAAGATGAAGGATGAGCTGAAGCACAAGCACCGACACGGCCAGAGTTACCACAAGGCACATGTGGAGGACGACATGATGATGATGATGACTTACTCCATGGTCCCGGTGAGATGAGGCGCCTGATGGTAGATTATAAATGAGGGAGATGTGGCAAATACATTTCTATACTGTAGGTAGTACTGTGCAGTACTTGGGGTACTATTGTATATTTTCCAGTTATGACTGATGCAACTACTGGTTAAAATGGGCAGTGATACTGGGACCATAATGGGGCCTGTAGGTTCCTTGAGCAGTTAGGGATAATGTGGTGAATTTATTTTCTTCTTACAATACAAACTTAATTGTAGTGAGAGATAATCTCTAGGGCCTGTGTTGAAGAAGGACCCAAGTTAGTTTTAGGGCCTTTAGTGTTTCAGTTTTCACTGTGATGAGCATATTCCTAATTAACAGCTATAAATCAGTGTAATTAAGAATCAGACCATTAAAATGTGAAATTAAAAAGTAATTAAGTTAATGTTCTACTGTACTGTGAAGAGCATGTAGTATTTGTTTGTACTTCAATTCCACTGCATTGTAGAGAAAAGTATTGTATAGGATTAATTTGACATCTACAATTACAAGTTACTTTAGATCAAGATGATCCAAAAATAAGATCAGTTCATGAAACATGATTCTTTGTTACAGATTAAAAAGTCAACACCATTTCTCATTTAAATACATGTTCAGCATGAGTCATTTTTTGGTGTAAAAAAATAAATACGATTTAAGTACACTTTTTATTGTGGTGAACTGCTACGGAAGACTTCATGTTTTTTACAGGATCTCATAGTTTGTTAAACATTTATGCGCGTCACATTGTTTTATTGTGTTTTAAAAAAATGTCTTTCTCTCAAGATCAAACTGTTGATCGACATTTGCAACAGCACCAAGGGAGTCTGTATAGCCGGTATGTCTCACTGATATACTTTAGATTTCACACTATTCATCTCCAAAATATCCCTTTTTATTCTGCTGACATCTTCATAACTTCTTGTTGCAGGACCTCCAGGACCCCCTGGTGAGTGAATCTAAATTTAATAAAAAAATCTACCAAGGCTGTTTGTCTCCTTTGTGGGTTAGCGACCCATATCTTTGCTGAATATGTTTTCCATTCAGCCTGTGGTGAGGATGTTTTTTGTGTGTGTTCCTGTAGGTTTGCCTGGTGCAGACGGTTTGCCAGGCCACAACGGCACTGATGGCATCCCAGGACTGAATGGACTGCCCGGGGCTGATGGGAAAAGAGGGAAAAAAGGTAAACAAAAAGTGAAGCTCTATTCTGTTTTCACTCAACATCCTTTTTTTTATGCCTCAGGCAATGCTGGCCACTTAAAGTGAAGGACGACTGGTTCAATGTAAGAGTAAAAGGCTTGAGAGCGACCACGGGTTCAAATGTAAAATAATAACTTCAGATCATATTCACACATACACACAGTTTCCTGATCTATGCATAAATCATAATATTATTGATAGAGCAAACTTGTAAATTTTTGAATGACTGAAAAGGTCCAAACTGCTGCTATTCTCTCACATTCACCACTAATATTATGCATCTTTGTGGTTTTGGGCCTCAGCTGAATGAACCGGATCTCCCTGTATTCTCCCACATCGCTCTGTTCTCCTCCACAGCGGCCGGCAATGATTCATCTCAGCAAGTCAATGGATTCATTCATGTTGATAATGACAGGGAGCTGAGGTTGTGAATGCTCTCTTTCTGAGCTCTTTTACATCATGTCCTCCACAGGCCCACCAGGTGAGAGCGGAGAGCCTGGTGAGAAAGGAGAGCGAGGAGAGTCTGGTCCGCCTGGAGAGCAGGGACAACCATCCAATGATGTCATTATTGAGGGCGAGTAGACTTCTGTCAACTATGATATCCTCATAATAAATCTATGCTTGTAGTCAGATGGTTTAAATGTTGTCCACTGTGCTTTTTTCAGGCCCTCCTGGTCCTCCAGGGCCTCCTGGGCCCATGGGCCCTGCTGGACCTCCTGGACCTCAAGGGCCATCCAGGACAAGGCATCACAGAGCCAACCTTCAGGCTGCTCAGACCCTGGGTGAGAGGCCTTTTTGGCCAATGAAACAAATGATAAGAAACCTTGGTGTTGGCTACTAGAAACAGAAGTTGGCATAACAGTCTCTCTGTGAAATTTTGATCTGCCCCAAATTGCAAACTCTGTAATTCTGCTAACAAACAGACACGGGTGAAAACATATATTCCTTGGTGAAAGTATAAAGTATCAATTCAAACATCTAGATATTTGAGGTGATACTGTTATATCAAGTATACTCTGTGCGTAAATACTAAGTAACATAAGATGAAATCCTTTCCAACAGGGCTGTTACACGCAATTCCAAATGATGAAACTTCAACTGCAAAGGAGGCTGGGAAACGACAGGGGCAACCCATGAAGAGGAACGGTGTGTTTTCAGAGAAATCTGTCTACTTGTACAATATGGAGAAAAACTGTGTCGTAGAGATATAAACACCTGAGCAATTCTCTTCTTTCCCCTCAGAGTGTCTGATTAAGTCTCTGATCAACCCCAGGAACGTGACAAAGATGGAGACCACCTTTGGCACATGGATGAAAGACACTGCTCAGGTGAACGATGAGCGAATATGGGTGGCAGAGCACTTTTCTGGTAGGTTGACGATCATCGTCTGTGTTTAGACCTTGTTATCTGCTGCTGCTGCTGCACTGTTTTTGTGTGAAAGGCAAACTCAGGAGATATAAATCACAAATCAAATAAATGTTCCTTGGTATAATTCGATGATATCAATGTGATACACATTCATTATTATTATATTTTTACCTGTTGCTTGTTCTTACCCAGGTCGTGTGGTGAAGGAGTATCAAAGCATCGCCTCCTTCCAGAGCAACAGCAGTGATGTTGTTGATGTCAGAAAGTTCTATCAGGGCTGTGGCCACATGGTTCACAATGGATCCTTCTATTATCATATCGCTGGTACTTCCAGCATCGGCAGGTAAACTGAAACACAGTGTGGTGCTGAGTTAGATGCTTTGTCTATTCTCTCCGTTTACCAACAAGCCTTTTGGTTCACAGATTTGACCTTCACACCAAGAGGCTTCACACGCTCACTATAGACAACGCTTTGCACAATAACCTCGCCTACCTGCTGCTCAACTCCAAGACTTACTTCAAACTGGCAGTGGATGAGAACGGCTTGTGGCTGATCTTTGCCTCCAACACGGACGAGAGCATCATGGTGGCTCAGCTGGACCAGAAGACCTTCTCCGTCACCACCTACATAAACACCACCTACCCTCGAACCAAGGCCGGCAACGCCTTCATCGCCTGTGGGGTCCTGTACGTCACCGACACCAAGGACACCAGGGTCACGTTTGCTTTTGACCTGCTGAAGGGGAAGCCGATCAACATGACCTTTGACCTGAGGCCTCTGGGTGGAGTGCTGGCGATGCTCTCGTACAGCCCGAAGGACAGACACCTGTATGTGTGGGACCAGGGCTACGTCAGGCTCTACGTGGTCCACTTCATCTCTGATGAGTGAAAAACTGTTGACAACCAAATATTCACTATTTGAAACGGTCATATTTAGGTTTTTGTAAGAGAAACATACTCATCAGCCTGATCTTTGTCCTCCTGCCACATGTTAAAAATCAGTTTCACTCAACGAAATCCGTCCGGTCAATAATCATGATTCTGTCAAAAGTAAATACTGCTGTATTTATATCCTATTTGTAATGTACATGTGGGATTTTGGAGTAACTAACAGTGTGAGACTTTTTTTTTTATCATTTTGTTTCAAACAGTTTATATAAATTTAACTTATTATGGTTAACTTGTGCTCGTCTGTGTTGTAAGCTGCATTATTGAGTGTATTTGCATGGCAGTGGTCTTTTATGTATTTTTATACAGATGAACATGGCACCCCCCAGATGTTCTGTACATCGAGACAGTCCGTCTGCCTCTGTGCAGAAGCAGCATGTTCTCTGGTGACTTATTCCTCTCGGCAGAAAATTAAAAAGGAAACAGTGTCAGATCACCCTGATGAAATAAAAGAATTTATTCACTTTACAAAGGTAAAACTCTGACCATGACCTGTTCTCTCACATACCTTCAGGCTCAAGTGCCCTAGTAAGTGTCTACCCTTGATACTGGCTTGTTTTGCATCATTACATGTACACACACGCACACATACATACATACATACACACATGCATCGGACACCAGTAGACCATTGGTAAAACACAAACGATACATACAGTACACATAGTGGGCAGAGAGAGGGAGAGAAACACAAATCTCTTTAATAAATACCATACATACACTTAACAAAAGTTACAACTAATCCAGCCGGTTATGATACGAACAAAAAAAATAAAGAAATGCTTTAATGTTTGTACAAGCTGTTGTGATTATATTTATATATATATATGTTTAAGATCATTTATATATATATATATGTATTTATTTATATCATTTATATATTAAAACTATTTCAAACATTTTACCACTAGGCCAAATGAAGCCAGACATTCATCTGTATATAACAGGTTCTTCTTCATTAACCTATTTATTGGAAATAAACTTTTAGTGTCTCTGGAATTTCGAGTGCAAATATCTAGTTCTTATGGACGAAACAGTAAAAACAACTAGCGAGGTAACACACACTTACATACAGTAGACTGTGTTGCACATCTCCCAGTCAGATACAGTAGAACCCCTTACATTCCTAAAATAAAAGGCAATAAGTTAAAAAGTTTGACAAAGGAATGGCCAAACAAACAAACACAAACATATAAATTATTTTAAATGCTAAAATAAAAAAAAAAAAAAGAAATTCAAGAAAATCTTGTGCAAAACTAGAAGTGAACCTTTGTGTTTCTGCTCTGGGTGGGTGTTTAAGGTTTGGACCAGACAGATGGAAACATTGAGATCACAGTCACAGGAGTAAAACACATCATCTTCCAAACAGGAATGTTCTAGCAGTGACGTTCGCCACACAAACAGGCATTTGAGGGCAGGTGAGCGGGCAGGCGTGACGATGGCAGACACAGCAGAGTGAAACACACGCTCCACGACCAACCCGGGCTGGGTCGAGAGGCCAGAGTGAGTGATGGGCAGCCAGAAGTAGGGGGTTGTGGGGTAGGGGTGGGGCGTCACTATAGGAGCGATGCACCATCAACTCTTCCATAAGGGCTGAGAGAAGCCGGGCAAAAAGGCAGGGTGAGGTGGGGGTGGGGGCAAAAACCAACAAAATGCAGATTCCAACAACTCGATTCACACCGGAAACCACTGACTTAATAACAAACCACAGTGCTGGTTACAGTAGATGCTAAGAGATTTCAGCTGTGGGCACAAAATGACAACAATTACACACTTTTAAAATTTTTGCTTGAGCACTTTTACAGAGCACTATCAATAGACCTGTGATTGCACCGCGTAACGAGAACAGGACATGCATAGCTTCCCTATGGACACACTCTAAGAGTAGAGATTCTTCAATAAAATTACAATAAATCTAGCTTTAAAATCAAGTATGATAACTTCTGCTTGTACCTTTGCTTTCAGCCTTTGGGAAAAAATATTTGCAGCTCCGTTTGTCACTCTGGGTTTGATTTACATCGACAGTAAACCCATGAACACTGCACACTCTGAAAGATGCCAAAAGCGTGGTGGTCTTTTGACTAAGTTGTCCCCCATCGATTATACTACTAATGCCTTGTGGGTGTTACATAAGCTTATTGTGTTTTGTCTTTCTGTCCCTTTCCTCTTTGGACCCTTGAAACTGGAAGTGGGCATTACAGGACGTCAACCAAGCTGCTAGGGATGTTGTAGCGGTCGGGGAGGACCCTCATCTTCAGGGTGCCGTCTGCTCCACAGGTGAAGATGCGATTACCGGGTCGTGTCTCAACCTGCATCACGCCGGCGCCGATGTTGCGGAAGATGGACTGCTTGGCATGCTCACTGCTAAAAGAGTGCATGAGCCCGTGGCCGGCTAATTTCCACACCTGGAGGCAGAAAGCACAAGAACAGACAGAACAGATTTTAAATATTTTCTTGCTTTTTATCTTTGTGGAGCCTCATTACAGTTGTAGAGTCCCAAATTAATTTTGAATGCTGTGGTGTAATAATTATTTTTTCCTCACAAGTCTGTCTGTTCTTAATGTGATTGATAAAAACTGATGGTCGAGCTGACAGCAACTCACAATAACCAGAATGTATCAGGAGCAGAACTGGTTCCACAAAAGCTCCACATTTGTGTGCAGCCCCGTCAGTCCCAACAGGTATATGATCTTGTTCCCACACAAAATAAATAACTTGTTTGCACAAGAGAATTATCTGTATTGGAAACAACATAATATCTGCAAAGTAAAAACATAATTGGCGTATCCAATGAAAACCTCATGGGTAAGTTTCAAGATATGACATTCCAAGGAGAAATCAAAACTTTATTTGCTGATATCTCTTCATCACAGTGGTTGTTTAGGAATATTAGTAAATTATCTTGTTCAAAACTTATAATTATTATTTGCAATTTTGATTCACTATAATAGATCCACTTGCTTTCCACCTTGGCAACTCAAATTTTGCCCAACATTCATTTTAAGTCAGTTTCAATGTGCAGAATTTGTCCAGCATCAAGACCAAAATCTCTACATGTCATTGCTGATACCAAAGAAATATGTGGATTCAAGAGGTAATTGCCTACAGTAAGACATTAATGCTAAGTACACAATGTAAGTGTGACTGTAAACGTTCATTTATTGATGGAAGGTCAGTGACAGAGCCTGGGTCACCTTCATGTTGCCCTCTGCGGAGCCAGTGACGAAGAAGTCCTCGAAGGCATCCAGTGCGAGGGCCTTGATGGCTGAGTCATGGGCCTGGAAAGTGTGGAGCAGCTGCCTCTGGCGGATGTCGAACACGCACACAAAGCCCTTTCTGCCTCCAGTGATCAGCAGCTGCTGTTTAGGAGCGTACTGCAGCACAGTGGCCCCGTTCTCATGGCAGGGGAACGCTAAAGAGGTGGGTGGGAAGAAATGTGAAATTGAATCACAAAACAACTGCAGAGGGAAAATCATTAAAGCAGGACTGTCTGAAGTACTTGGGATTTCTTACCATGGACCATGGTATTGCTAGGTGAAATCAGAGTATCCCACAGGCAAACATTTCTGCGGAAAAATAAACCAAAGATAATTTTTGTCAGTCAACAGAAAAGGAGTAGTGTTGGTCTAACATTGGTGTACTTCAGTACAGACCGGTTATCGTTGGACTGTCCAGCTGTGGCGATAAGGCTGGAGGACGTGATGAAGGCGAAATCACCGCAGGTCTTAGTGTGACACTGCCAACTCTATCGTCAGGAAAGGGATGAGGGAACAAAGAGGCCAGATTTAATTATCAAGAATGAAGAAAAGAAAAAGTGTGTGCGTGTGCTGGGGTGGTGAATACAGAGATGAGGGAGGTGGGAGGTGAGCTCACCAGGTAGGGTTTGGGGTTGGACGATGTCTGGTTGACCTGCCAGAGACTGAGGAAGCCCTCTCCATCAGCGACTCCACACTGCAAGAGTAACACAGAGCAATCACAGCTATCACACCAAACAGACAAAACATAGACATGACCGTGTGTGTGGACTTGTATTTCTATCCTTGTGAGGAGCAGTCTGATAATTAGACTTTTCGGTGTGACTTTGGCTGGTGTGTGACTTTGGCTGGTCCTGGAATTTCAAAGAGCTGTTTGAGGGTTAAGACTTTTTTTTTACGGTTTATTGTTAGGTTAGGCATTTAGTTCTGAAGGTTCCTGTAGGTTAAAGGGTAGGGGAATACAATATGTCAATAGATGTCCACAAAAAACGTGTGTGTGTGTGTGTGTGTGTGTGTGTGTGTGTGTGTGTGTGTGCGCAAGTGGGTATCTACCTTATTGCCCTGGGAGTTGAAATAGAGCCGGGTGACTCTGGCGTTGCCGGCTTGTCTGAAGCAAATTAGTTGCTGAGGTCTGTTCCATTCAAACATTCTGACACTGCCATCCTGAGCACCCGTCATGTCTGACACACAAACACAGAGAAAAAAAGAGAAAGGGACACAAAAGAACAACACAGATGAGAGGAAGATAAGTAAAACTGGATAAAGAAACTTCAGATAAAAACTCAGTTGTACACTGGTGATTCACAGGCTTCAATGAAGGCACTTACAATACTGATATATGGGGTGAGACGTCATTCTCTTTACATTGTTTAAATTCCTCTTCATAATCTGAAAAACACGATAGAAACATTTACATAAAAAACAATTTAGTATGAAATCCAGATGTGAAACCTTAACCTGTAAACCTTCATCAATCTTGAACAGATTTCAACTGAAACTTGAGCTCAAACTTCAGTTTGACAGTTCATACGTTTCACTTGCTTACAGTGTTTAGTTCTGCATATTTCAATGTGACCCAGCAGATTTAAATTGAGCCTATTCCAGCTTATCAATACTTCTATTATGATTTATCAGTTTCTCCTTATTTTTTGTTCCAGTAATATTTATCAACAGTGTTTTTTAAATCAAGCTTCAATAATTAGCAGTGTAAGTCAGACAATAGTAAATTTAAATCTTTTATGTAGAATAATACAACACTAGACTTGTGTGAAATCTCTTGGCTGATAAAAGCTGTAGACAGAGTGTCTGCAAACCTATTCAATGTTCTCAAAAGCTGCAGTCAAAGCTACACTTGACTGCAAAAACACTCTAGGTAGAGTCATGATTCCCCCAATTATTATTCTAGGCCTCAAACGGCTGGGATCGTTCACTGCAAGCATGAGAATCCCCCTTCCATAATTAGCTGAACTGTATGACTGCCAACGTGCTGTCTAGCTTAGTGTATCACGCTCAGCATTTATCAACACGGCTGGGACATGGAGAACCCTGGCCGCATGTACGTGTGACGCAAATCTGTACCTTGGGTAGCCGCCTGTGAGAGCTGCTGCTATCTGTGTTTATATGCATCCATCTCTGCCATGAAAAACACACCTCCTCTCTGTATCAGCCACCATAGACTCAGCAGGACAGCTGTTTAGTCGTCATGGCTCAGTTTGGCTTAACAATGATAAGAAATAAAAATACACACTTCTTCTGAAAATGTTCCACAGGGTACATCAAGAAATCCACATGGTCTTGTGTCATTCTAAACCTGAATCACAGACTCCTTTAAAGTTTACATTCAGAACTATTGGGTGTTGATTTTAAACTGATGCACCTATTGTGGACCAAAATGTCAGGAACACAGCTGAGTGTCCCCCTGGTGTCGATTACTAACAATTGCATTCGATATCTATGAGTTTGTGTTTATCTACTGTATCTATCAGTTTGCAGTGAGGGAGCTCGTACCACACTTGCTCCCATGCTGGTCTGTCCACTGCCGAGCCACGGCATAGAGGCAGAGACCGGCATCTGGGGGGGTGCAAAAGGGGCAGAGCTGGCCTGGGCAATGTTGGTGTGAGAGGAACGATGGTCTATGTCATCAGAGCTGTAGAAGAAAACACAACCACACGTCACGTAGAAGTCATTTTTCAGATGTTAAGAGTTTCTTTTCTTTAGGTTTATTTGTTGAAAGCATAAATATCCTGGGTCTGACCTGCGGGATTCCTTATCAAAGTCCTCTCCTATCCAGGTGAAAGGCTGGACAGCCACTAGAGTGGACACGTCCACCTCCTGGACATCATGAGTGGAGGCCAACACAATCTCATTGGAATTAGCCTAGGAATGGAGAGGGATGAGGAGGGTGGGAAAAGATTAGCGAGATAAGGTGGAATTTAATGTCATCATTTATCATTTGATTTCCTAAAAAAGCAGTGACATATATTTGAATATTCAGATGGAAGTTCCTGGAAAGGATGATGTATTTTGGCACTTTGTCTTTACCCTTTACTTTGTACCAATTTACAGAGGTCTTTCCAGGAAATTAATTCTATAAGCATGTAAAAATAAGTTTCCCAGTACTTTCTAGTCAAACACAATTTACCTTATTGATGGCAAAGGCCATGATAATATCAGACTCCTTGTGAATGATTTTAGCTTTGCCTCCTGGGTACCCCAGATCTGCCTCCACCTGGAAAAGTAAAGAGAAACAAAACGTCGAGGTTTAAGAAAAACTAAAGCGACAATGCTCATGTCTGCTTTGAATAATCAATGCCCAGAAAGCCATTCCTCATTAATACCACTCATGTTAAATCATTTCCTCAGGCAGAAAAATATATCACTTGCTTTTGGCCATCGAGTCTCCCCCTTGACATGAAAGTAGCGTAAAGTACAGGCACATTTACAAGGGGAGAGGAGCAATCATAGGAGACGGTAACATATAAAGACGTATAATCAAATCTTGATTTTTGGGTTTCCTACAGTGATTAACAAGACTCACACAGCCCCGACAGTGTGCATGCAAGTTAGTATGCTGATTATATGTGCCAACTCTCTTTAAAATAAGCATTTCATTTTTTATTTTTCAGTCCACCAGAGACAGTCCAGCTAGAAGGGCGAAAGGAGTGAGAAACACAGGGAGACGTGTTATTTTGGAGGGTTTGAATGTGAGGTTGTGTGAGTGGATGTTATAAGTGTCCCAGTGACAGAGAAAGAGCAGACGTTAGATCTAAGCGTCAGAGCCTTGAATAGACTTTATGCCAGATAAATTGACAGCACAATCACTTTCAGTCCAAGCTGGAGAGGAGACATCAAGAGCTGCACCCAGTGCGGTGCTGCCTCTAATTATAACCTGCAAGCCTGAACTCCGTCAGGCTGGTGCACACTTATTATTTCTTAAAGTTTGATGCTCTTGCTCCTTCAAGCTTTTCTTTACAGTGACTCTTCCAGACAGACAGAAAGGGCCAGGGCTGGTACAGTGAATGATACTACCTTATAGGGGCGGCTAGCTCCTGCTATGCAGTTTGGGCTTATATGGTCCATATGGTTCTCTACAGACTACACAACACACACAGAGGCAATATAGACACACAACACACCAACACAGCACGACACACAACACATGCACAAACACAGAAAATAAAACATGGAGGGAAACAAAAATGAAAAAGATTGACAAGATCTCTGGTGATCAAATGTAAATAAATAATCTGGATCGATCTCATCAGCATGGAGCTGGATGAATGGAGAGATGACAGCTACAGTTAAATCCAAAGTAGTCTAATTATATTGAATAATGCATAGTTTCTGCTCTCCATTCTTCTGGGTCACCTACTATAGACATGCTGTGCAACATTTTATACTGTATAGGCCCAAAGATATTATTCAAACGTAATTGTCTCCTTTTGAAACACACATTACATAAAAAAATATTTAAAATTCCGCTCAGTTTTTATTCACATAAGTACACACGTGTTGAGACATTCTGACATTGTATATTTCTTGGTTGCACAAGAGTCATTTGATGACTTTATCATTAAGTCATGATCATTGTGGGCAGCATGTTTGCCAACTTTAAGCTGTTTTTTTTAGGTGAGACAGATTTACTTTTTAAAATGTAATTTTCAAAAGAATATAGTTTTATACTTGGACCAATACAGTAAATATGTTAATGGGAGTGAACAACATAAACAAATGTATGAATAATAATTCAGGTGTAAATATGACTGTTAAATAAAGCAATGGTTTAAACAGTTTAGCTAATGAACGCTGACATGGGGGGAAAAGAACAAGCAGAGGTTTTGTTGTGAGTAGGGGCCACTGACCTCACACTGCTTCCTTTTTTTAGTAAAGATGTAACGGATCAAAGTCTCCTGAAGAACTTCCTGTTTGACCAGGAAATGCCAAAGACGTCTCGCTGGAAAGGACTGGTGGTTCTTTGTCCTGAATGAAAGGATATAGACAGAAATATGTTATGATATGATAAGAAAAACTAGAGTAAGTTTAGTAATAATGTCAGGATAAACATCTATTCTGATTATAAACTCAAGTCAAATTACATTTAGGTTTAGTGCTATAAATGTTTTTAATCGTCCAGTCCTAGTGAGTGACGTGTGTATTTTAACGTACTGTATATGGTTCACTGAAGATGATTCTACGAGCATGACTCACTTGAAGGGTGTGTTGTCTGGCTCCAGCATGGCCTTGTGTCGGAGAATGGCAGGGCCACCTCCTGCGCTGAGGTCAGTAGGGTAAGTGTTGATGTAGTTGGGAGGCGGGCCGTCAAACTTGTTCATGCGCTCCAGCAGAAGCTGCTCCCAGTTCTCTAAAGTCTTCAGCACAGCGTTGCTTAGAGGGGAAGTGACCGGCAGGTCTGTGACATAAAATCATATGCATATACTGTAGATATACTGTTTACAGTCAACAGCAACAACAGTTAATAGTTAATTATTGTATATTTATTATAGACCAATGGCTATAGATTTGTTTTGGGTCTGATGCTCATATGATAATAGGGAGTAAAAGAAATTCAAAATCTGACACAGATATATTGTCTAATATTATTTATACAAATTATCCACAAAGCATACTAAGATGTCTTTACAAAGAATAAATGCTTTCTATTGAATTTAAGGAGCTGCTTAGTGTCAACGACGAGGTACCTGTGAAGTCGAGGCCAGTGAGAGGGAGGAAGTTCTTGACATTGTGATGAGCCAGCTTCACCATGACCAGGCGGATCAGAGACCAGCTATAAACCGCACAGACAGGCAGACAGAAATGCACGCAAGTTAAACTCTGAAGCACAGGTTCAAAAGCTGGATATTCATGAAAATAAGTAAGGTTCTACCTGTAGGAGTTGGGGTCGGAGTGCTCCGTTATCTGTGTGTCGGAAAGGAAGGCGTCATCATCGTCTTCGTCATCTTCTGCGCCGCTTTCATCTGAGTCACACAGAGCGTTGCTGTCTGACAGCGGCAGGAAAGGCTGAGAGGGAGACAATAATGACGGAGGAGAACGATTGAATTGAAAAGGCAGATAGAGTGAGAGAGAAAGCCTGAAGACCATGAACAGATATCATCAGTCAATTCCACATAGTGTAGGTTGCATTCAGTTCTTTACTTTGGCCACAAAGTAGTCCCACATGCTCAGCTCGGGGGGAATGAACTTCTCCCTGTAGGCGGGTCTCTCTATGGGCACAGGGGGTGGGTTGGCTGGCGTCTCCTTTACCGGGCGTCCAGGAACGAGCATCCTCATGTTAAACCTGCGCCTGTATCGGTCCGAGTCCTCTGCTTGGGGCTGAGGCAGAGCCGCTGGAAGGAGGAGAAGAATGAAGAGGAGCCCCTTTCAAACACAATTAACTCTGATAAGGTCAGTCTGCAGCACACAAATGCTGAGGACGACCAGAGACTCAGCCTCACTTTAGGAAGGTCAGGAAACAGATCAGAAGGAAGGTAACTGCACCCACACCCTACACAGAGCACAGTACACTTACACTTTAGTGTAAGTGTAAAAACTAAAATGTGGTGCCTGTCTGCCATCTAACTTTGAGCTCTCTGACTTTGATTAGTCACACACGATTAAAACATGAAAGAAAATCAACACACTTAAAAAAAACAGATACAAATGCGCTAGAGGCACAAGGCAAGACACACTAGGTTGTGCACAAACCTGCACCATTATCCTGGGTGACTATCTCTGGCATCGCACCAGACAAAACACGACAAGACACAAACCGGAGCTGACAGTGCAGTTAGACAAACACATACAACACAGACCATTACATTATCGATTCAGTAAACTTTTGAAGTAGCGAGGAAACACATCAGACAATGGTGAATTTGTTGAGCAGTTGAGTGCTAAGCATTTTTTTTGTATCCACAGCCCTTGAAGGAGGCAAACATGATGAGACTTATGAATGTAACACGTTTATAGTGTTTAAAAATGGTTGTTAATTCAAACATGACAGGGAGCCAGTGTGTTAACATTTGTGTATGGCTTTCTTTTTGTTACATGCATGTATATTTTCAGCAGCGCTCAAAAGGGCAGAGTCTTAACATCTGGCAAAGTGACTCCTATCCACAGGCTGGCATTTAAGACCTCAACCCTCCTCCTCTCATCCAGTTCTTCAAAAGGCTCTTGGCTTTGCTGAGACCTATCTCTGTCTCTACAGTGATATAGAGCCTAAATGCCAGCTCATATCTTCCTCCCACATAAAATACAATATGAGCACAGATTGCTTTGGCCTAATGAATATGGACAAATAGTGTAAAGTTCAATAAACAGCAGACCTACTCAGAAAACCTTCCACAAATCTACAAATCTGACAAACACCAGAACCGAGACGAACAAGCGACTATCAATCTATAATATAGTTACTACTAGAGATGTTCCGATACCATTTTCCCTTTACTATACTGAGTCCAATACCTGGACTTAATGTATCTACTCATAACAAATACTGATCTGATAAGAATGCATTTGGAAAGTATTTTAACAGATGCATGCTACTATCATTGTATAAAGTGACGACTGCTCATTGCTGTATGGCCTGGCCTAGGTTAAAAGCTTTGAAAAACAAATACATGCATTAAAAAAATGAACAACATAGAACTTCTTCAACTGTTAATCTCATTGTATCCTGTACAATAACAATAAAGCTTTCTAGCTTCTACCTTTTATTTATTTAGTTTGACAGTCGTAACTGAAAAATAACCAAAATAAATGAATATAGGAACACACAATAACTGAACATGCAATTAATTGCTTTAAATAGCTGTTTAAGTGCAGAACTACTTCTAGGACACATCGTCATTACTTGCCAGTGAAAGTAAACAGCGCAACCGCATTTTGGAGCTGCAAAGAAAACCTGATTTCCGCAAAAAATTGCACTTTTATCTGGGTGAAACTAATAAACTTTAAAGACGTGGTATTGGTACATAGATTTGCCAATGTACAACCCTGCAGTATCAGCTGGTATCAGTATCAGAACATCTCTAGTAATCACCTCTACTACAAACTACTGATTTGTAGTAACTCATGTCCATTCACATCCTATTTAATATTTAATGCTACAACCAAGACAAAACAGAACTAGTTATGCAGTTCCAGCTCTATGGTGGTATTTCATTAGTGTAACAACTTCTCAAGGTGTACCTGCTTTAGTCTCAGATTCACATTTAGTCTGAGACGGTTGCTCAGCCTTCGCCTCTGAACAATCCTGGCTAGGCCCAGCAGTTGCTTCAGTGGTACAGCAGAAATGACAATGAGATGGGCAAAGGGGACATTACAACATATACATGCAATGCAGTACACGCACACGAACGAACGCACGCACGCGCGCACACACAGCTGTTGCCTTATCATAACACTGAACACAGATGACTGTCTTCATAGCACTAGTGGGCTTTGTTGTTTGTAATGGGCATTCAGTAGCAGCTGCACAAAGGAGAGAGGACTAAGTCAAGCATTTGCAACAATGCAAACCTGTACAATTACCATGCACTGCAATCCTGCAAACCAGCACTGCAATCCACCAGCTCAGTTACTCACAGCTGGCCTTAGTTGCTGGTGCCACAGTGCCCAACCCCTCCACCCTCGAAAGGGGAGGAGGGGGTCGTTTGGGGCACTGGGTTTCAGTGGGGATGGGAGTGGGGTTTGGGGTGAGGCTGCTCTGCTCAGGTCTTCCTGTCTCGTCTTGAGACTCCTCTGGCCTGGCTGCCTCAAAATCAGCTGGCACTGAGACACAGGGCAGAGGGCAAACTAACACAGGAAACTACACAGCAGCAGCATCTTAGGAGCATCAACAGGACAGGACTGGGTGGAAACTGTGTTAGTATGTAGAGAGACCCAGAGGGATGGAAGCATTGCTTCAGATGTGTGTGATCAGAGATAAGTCAGGCGGTAGAAAGCCAACAAATGGAGTAGAAGAAAACAGCAGGAAGAGCAGAATAAAGGGATAAGGACAGATAATGTAGACCATGAAGAAAACTAAAGACAAAGACATGATGGCAATAAAGGCATTAATAATTAACAACAAAATATAATCATCGTTTTACCTGGTGGGGCCTCAGGCCTCTTTGGCCTAATAATGAGTTTGGCCCCTCCTCCAAAGACAGCGGCCCACATGCGGTTGTTGAGGGGATGGGCAGCCAGGCGGAAGAGTTCATTGCTGCTGTGAGTACCCAGACCATGAATGAGCAGCGCGAGATAAACAGCCACAACTGCTTCACACAGCAGCACGTTGAGCCTTGGCTGGTCCTCCTCCCTGGCAGACGTCAACAGAGAAATCAGGGACGACACACCTGCAGAGAGAGGACACACATACAAACACACAAAATGGAATTCATACAATAGATTGATCATTAATTTGCGAAATACAAGTAGCACAGAAAAACTAAAAATACTATCTCTGCACAATACAACATTCATTTATACAACATTAGCAGGATGGCGTGATCAGTCTGCCTTTCGGTTTCCTTCCCAGAGGCCATGAAGCTCCTATTATAGAACACCATCTGTCTCTCTGTATAAACACAGACTGCCTGCTTTGCTCTGCTCTTCCTCAGACTCTGCTTTTTATCCTCTCAGTTGTGTCTTTGATGCTCAACCATACTGTACATCCTGTGAGGACTCTGGAATATGATCTTACTTAGTTTCAACCTCTTTAAAACTATTTCTTTAGAGAATTACACCAAAAACAAGCAGCACTTCAGAGCAAAGTTATTCTTCTTATATATTTTCTGCCTTAACTATAGAATTTAACTCAATTTGACCACAAAAATGCCAGTGGTTGGTAAAGCAGAGGCCTTGTTACCTGGCCATTGTGCAGGAGCGGAGTTGGGAGTTATATGTTCTTCAATGCTTTCTGTGCGAAGTCTTTTCCTCTCACTGAGTAACAGGCCCTGGTACACCATCCCTGTAAACTGGTTGGCCTCTGTCTGGGTGCTGCAAAGCCAAAACAGAACTGTGACCACAGAGACTCAAACACACAAAAATAATCATTTTTCTTTACTAGAATGAAGTAAGAAAATAAATAAAAATTCTCTTTTCAGTGCTGGAGTCAGGATGTGATTTAGACACGCTCAGCAAACAAATACTTTATTTGACAACAATGCTGTCTTGGAGAAAAAACCTTGAGGACTGAATAGTGAAACCAACACACACCAAAAAAAGCATCTATAGCCCAGTAAAACATTTTTGTTCTAAGGATTCTTGTTGTTGAACCTATGTCAGTGCACTGAGACACAGTTACCTGTAGCTGTGGCTGTCACACAATGCTTGATAGATGCAAGCAGACAGAGAAGCTGCTAGTGTGTGTAGAGCATTGACCTGAGGGTGAGAAACGGACATTTCATTAGTCAACATCTGAAGGAATGACTTCAGATGATTGAAAAATGTTGTGTACTTAAATATACATGAGGTAGATTTAAATTAGAGTTCTGACCCGATCATCCATCATGTCAGGATGTGGCGGGCCCTCCATCAGGCTGGCGGTGTGGAGAATGTCATGAATGTGGTTGCTGAGGTGGAGAACAGGATTTGCTATGACCGTCTTGGTGGGGGCGATGCAAGCTGATAGCAGAGGCAGTGTAGTCGGCAGAGGCAGAGGAGACTGCAGCTGTTTCACTGTGGTCTCCTACAGAGTGAGACAGGAGAGGGTAGATTTGATTTTGCATGACTCTGGTCAAGTTACATGATATATATATATGTGTGTGTGTGTGTGTATGTATATATATATAAATAAGAGTGAATGTTTACCTGCTGGCTCTCCTGCAGAAGGAACAGAAGCTCCATGCGAACAGAAGTGACTCCTCCTCCCTTGGCTCCATGGAGGCTGCAGTAGGACAGAAACACCCTCAGCAGGGCCTGGTTCTTCCTCAGCCACGCCTTACGCCTCTCAGAGTGCTGCTGCTTGGCCTGAAGACGCCGCCGCTCCATCTGGTGACGCTCGTATGCCCCAGCCTCTGTCTGCTCCAGGTCCTCATCTGTTATGTCCACTGATGCTGTGTGCTCTCCCCACCGCTCCACCTCTGAATCTTCCTCTTTTCCCTCAACCTTTGTGTTGACGATATTTGATGAAAATGATCAACCAAGATGGGTTACACACTTATACTACCTTTAAGTTTTGCAGACTACATGAAATGTTATCTAAGTGTACCTTGTAGTTGCAGATCGTATGCATGCCGGCTATTTCCTTCTCCAGCCAATTGTAGAGTTGAAAGCGGAGCTTCCCTCCGTCCACCTCGAAACCTGTTGCCAGTGTACGCAGCTCTGTCATCAGGATTTTTAGACAAGCACGGAACTTTAGCTGCTCTGCAATGACATCCACCTCTGACTCACCCTGAAATATATGAGAAGGAGTTACAGTTTTTAGGGCTTTAATTCAAGTCCATAAGGGGTCTCAGGGACACGCTGGAGCTCATGCCAGTTCTGCTACTTTTGTCTGAGACGTTTAGTCCACATGAGTGTAATTAGAAAATGTTGATGATTTTGATTTTCTTTTGATTTATGACAAAGTGTCATTATAGTTAAGGAGAAACTGTTTCAAGTTTATACATTTGGAATGGACTGCAATAGATTCTTTGATTTCAGGTCAGATTTAAAATAACGATATAAGTTCCTACCTGTGAGTCTGCTCTCTGTAGTTTGGGCCTTCCACTCTCTGAGCCCCCATCTGCTTTGGACTCAGACTCTGGTTTCTTCATTGTCAGACCACCATCATCATCATCATCATCATCATCTTCATCTCCTTTGTCATCTTCCCAGTTCAGCTTGAGCTCATCTTCCTCCACCTTGACCACAGGCTGGCTCCAGTCCAACCCTCCCCCACTATCATTTCCTCCCCAGGCATTGACAGGGAATCCTGGTGAGCCCCAGTCCAGGCCGCCCTGGGTGCCATTTTCCAGGGGTTGGGTTGAGTCTAAGTTGGCCTTGGATGAAGCTTTGCTGAGCGGCGAGGAGCCAGATTTCTTGGTAACTTTGGGGATCTTGGATAGAACTTCCAGAGCCAGAACTGGGCAGCCCACCTATAGAGGATTTAGATTTGATTAAAGCCTCAACACTTTCAGGCAGAAACAACTGTAGAGAGGTAGATAAAATCTCCACTTTATCAGAAGAATTGAATTGGAACTGGAAGTGGTAATATTACTGATGAGCCCACCTTGAAGTGTGCATTGGCTGTAGTGAAGAACAGTTTGCGCTCTATAAGGTTGATCTCATCTGCGCTGCTCTTCTCAGCAGTGACTCCCACAGTTGTTGCTGTGGCCTCTGGATTTGCAAAGTGGCGGCGAATGATCAGAGGGTGTGTCCTCAGATAGTTATAGAAACTAAACACCACAGGGTTGCAAGATTTCACCATCTCATCTAACATAGGGCAGTGAAGAAGAGGGAGACCAAGAAGGAAAAGTCTTAAAGAATTGCACAAAAAATAATGAGCACAGCAAACAGGTTTCAGTGGATTGTGTCCCAATCCTCTAATCATGTAATACCAACTGAAATGCCTACAAGCAACTGACCAGGATTCTCATCATCCTCTTTGGGGATTCGCTCCAGCAGTGTGTCCAGGGCTCGAGTGTAATCCTTCATAATCCAGTAGGCTATGCTGCGGAGGAATGGGTCAGGATGCAGTCTGGAGCAGTGGTAACCACTTCCATCTTTGTTACAGCCCAGGACTTTCTCATACAGGAGGCCCTGGCAAGTGGATGAGTTCTCAAAGTCGGCCTCATACAACCTTGCTACTATCATGGCTAACTGGAGATCCTCCATCTTCTCCATCAGCACCTACAGAACAGTGAAGATGTGAGACTGGATAAAAACTGCAGGTTGTAAAATAATTGTAATGAAGTGCATGTTGAAGTATCTAACACCTACCAACACAATACATGGAATTGAAGCAATCAAGATTCATACTTGTATTTGTTATGGTTATCTACATCTTTTCACTGTGTAGTATAGAAACCATAGGCCAAGAAAAAAATTCATCTTTTTATGCATCTGATCATCTCTCATGTGATGTAAAGGCTGCAGAATATCCAGCTCTCTAAATAACAGATATTTGCACTGTTACCAATGTAGAAATTTAACACTCATTCAGACGAACCTTTCCACCCACATATATTCTATTTCATGTTGTTTACACAAGTGAAATGAAAATGGAGTTTCGGAGCACAGAGTAAGACAGTTATGTTTGTGAGTCTTGTGAGTTATTAAATGTACAAGTGTGTGAATGTGTGTTGTTCCCACCTCTATGGCGTCTTTGAGTGATCCAGCCAGCAGAAAGAAAGCAGCCGACTGTTCAAAGCGCTGCTTTCCCAGCAACGAGAAAGCATTTTTCAGGGCTGCCTTTCGCCAGCGATCTTCACTGAAGTTGTTCTTGAAGAACTGAGTCATCTTCTCCTCATGCTGAGACCTGAGAGAAGAAAACAACACAGTTCAGAATTCGCCTAAAGTTTCTGTTCGAGCAGTACATTGGGATTTAACTCTACAAAGTCTAAAGTTGTACCTGAAGAGCCCCCACAGAACAGCTTTCTTCTTCATGGCCAAGTAGAACAGAGCAGCATCTAAAGGGTCATTGTGTCTCTGGAAGGCAGCTTTACCTAACTGATTACACACAGAATAAGTGAATCAGTCATTTCAGTTATTGGATCAAATTAATTAAAGTGCACTTCAAAGATAAAAAAGAATCTAGCAGAGACGTGACTTCGCCATGATGTATAAATCGGTTCTGATACCTTTTCCACCATTTTCCGCAGGGTGTTGATGTTGCGTATCCACCAACCCACTCCAACAGCTCTGAGCTCAGACCACTGTGGGTCTCCTCTCTGCATGGCTGGGATCATGTTGAGCAGCTCTTCTTCTGCCTCGGAGTGGAAGGCCCATGCAAAGTGGCACGTTGATAGACCTGGCATGATGACAAACAGAGGTAAAGGGAAAAGGAGATATCTGAAGTTCAGATATCTATATTTCATGTTTCATTTATGTGTCACACAAGCAGTAAAATGAGCAGTGTGTTTACCCTGGTGGAGCAGTTGCATGCGGTACAGAGGGGGCAGAGAGGTGAGCAGGCAAGTATGGAGACGCATGGCCAGCAGGTACCTCAGCCCACACTCATCCAGAGCCTCACCACCTATACAAACACAAAACAAGCGAACTGTCAGCTTTGTCGCTGTTATTCCACAGAGAACATTATTAAATGTCAGCCAGAAAGCACAGACCTTTACAACCTTAGTATCACTTGAGTTCATTGAATCCTGTGTCTCTTGTCCCTGAACCTTCTTACCCTCTCTGTGCTTACTTAGCCCTGGAACAACCTGCTAATGTCTTCCTCTCAAAAGACTAAATAAATTAGATGGAATATTGGAAAAAAAAAAGACAAGGATAATGGGAAACGTGCAGTCTTGTTTATATACAGTTAAAGAGGAACAGCATAAGCACTGCTGTTTATGTTAATAAAGATTTGATGGCTGGAGATTAACCATGCCCAGGAACACACTATCAAGAAAAATTATGCTTAGTTTTTCTTTTTGTCTATAACCTCTTGTTAACTTTAATACAATATTATCTCTAACAAAGGGTAACAGACTTGTAGACATTAGAGCAGGTCAACACGCCCAATTAAAGCCTAATCATCAGGTATGGTTAAGTCTTGTATCTTTCTTTATATACAAAACAGAGTGATAATTTATTTATCCACAAAAGAAATTACCTTACAGATGAGAGACACAGGACAGTGTCTCACTGGAGGACACTTCACTGAGGAGGATTCTCATACATGAAAGCCCCAACATATGTAACAGACCCTCCTCCACCCTTAATCAAACACTCACTCTCTCAGATCATACAATTTCTATTGATTACAAATCCCATGCACCCGTCTAAAGACTTGTGGGGACAGGGTTGTTGACACAATAGCACCAAAGTTGTGGAATCCCTTACCTATGCAATTAAAATTAACTTTAATGTACATATCACTAAATAAAACACTGAGGAAAAGACAAGTGTATAATTCTGAAAGAACTGTAAGAGGATAAAGCATCAGACAAAACTAAAGATAAAGAAAATGCTGATTGTTAAACTTATTTCAATGCCCAGATACAATACAGAGAAGATTGTATTCACTGTGGTTTGAAATAAGATTTTAATGTGGAGATGACTCTTCTTCAAGAAATACAGACAACACAGTCTCTGTTGTCAGTAAACCTTGGTATGTTTTATTTACTCTGTTATATAATCTACTGCACATATAAGTTTGACTGTAATGCGCAGACATATAGACTGACCTGTGTACTGCTGATCAGTGGAGCTGGTGACCTCAGCACTGGTGGTTGCAACAGTGTCAGCCAAGGCCACCAAGAACATCTGCTCGAGTCTGGTCAGCCCTGGTAAGCTGGAGTGCATGAGGTGACTGGACAATACCTGGACACACAAAGGAAAAATATAAGTAAGGCTGAAAGTTACACAATGACAATAAAACTGATGGATTTTACAATGAGAGCCATTATATGTAAATTTTATCACCACACTATTGTTACTTTACAGTTTATCACTGTCCTTTCAGATATTACAAACTCAAGATTACCACAGCGTTGTTAACAAGATGTTACATTGTTATAATTTGGTATAACACCATTATTCTCTTACTCCCATGCTATTTATTTATTTTTATATATTAACAGAACACATTTAATGTTTATTATCGGGTTTTATCACTGATAGGCCAGCATTGGAAGAGCATTTTCCATTTTGTAAAATAGGAAAGTGAAACTGTAAAGTGATACCTGGGCGTGCTCTGGTCCGAAGTAAGTGGGTCCATATTGAGAGAGGTTAATAACTCGAGACTTCTTCTCTGGTTTGTCTGTGGCAAAGTTTACAAAGTCGTCTGTGGTGACTGCTTGCACCTGGTAACACAAGAAAAAGTTCTGTCGTAAGTATCAGTGAACTACACCATTGACAACAAAATCTAAGTTGGCTCAATTACCAACCTGGAAGAGGTCGGCATACTGGTCCTCTGTGGACTTCTGTACTCCATCACCATCAGTCGCTTTAGCTCCCTTAGCAGCCTCTTCTGCTCCCTTATATGAGGTGTCTAGATCAGCCAACATGAGTGCATACAGGGGCAGTGGAGGGATAGAGTTAATCTCTGTGTAGTCCCTGCCTCCATCACGGCCTGCGACAATGGTGTCTTTTGCTGTGCTGCCAGTCACACTGATGGTTCGCGACAGATGTCTCCTGGCTCCGCCCTCACCGGCCTCCACATCCCTCACCACAGCAACTTCCCCGGCAATACACTTAACCAGGTGAGCGAGGATGGCCTATATATAGAAGAGCAATTGGTTATACAGTGTGTACAACAATGTAGATTAGATGAGCTAGATCACTACGTGTCCAACATTTTTACCAGAGTGTTTGTGGGCGTCTGTCTTTTTTGGTTATTCTACTTCAGATTAAGCCTAATTTTACTATTACTCATTATCTTATCAGCGATTTAATGATTTATTTTTTCTAAATACAGAAATAAGAGCTTTAAAAAACTACTTTGCATATCACTGATTGGTAGACACTGGAAAACTCACCTTGGCACGGCGAACCTTGCCCAGGTCCATGAGTTCTAGCAGCTGTGTGGGATGGTACTGGGGTAGAGTGGGTGATAGGGAGTGGGCAGCCTCAAACAGTCCCCCTTCCTGAAGTCCAGCTGGGGCACGAAGGGCCTCATCCACTGCAGCACTTCCTTCAAACACACTCTTGGACCTGGCTCTCCCTTCAAAGGCTGAGGAGGAACCGGTGGTTTGACCTCCAGCAATGTCTGCGGATGATAGGTTGCCCTCGTCTCCCTCACCAGGCTTCTTGTCCTGATGCCACTGGGCATACACATGCATCTCACAATCCATGCCCACAACTAGGATGCCGTCCCTTACCCAGGACAGGGAGACTGGCAGAGATGGTGTGCCATCCACTGAGGACAGGAGGTCCACAGACCGAAGCAGGATCCAGCGCGAGCGGATCCCCTGTTTGATACTGCCCCCTAGAGGAAGGGTAATGACAGCCACTCCCTCTTTGCTGCTAGTCTGCTCGTTGACCATGCCAGAGATACGGCCATACATGAGAATGTTGGATCCAACCCCCACAGTGAGGATGTGAGATCCATCCTCCTTCGACAGCCAGTCCAGATGAACATAGTGCTTTATGTTGGGAGAGCTATGGTCTCTGCTCATGTACAGGTCTGACCTGGTATGAAAAATATCATTATTAACTTATGGGACACCCATAGTACATACAGTGACAGATAGAATATATTACTATATATATATACACAAATACAAAATATTAATATATAATTATATATATTAATGAGCACATAAGAAGTCGTCCTGACCTGCTGTAGACAAACAGGTTGGAGTCCACACTGACTCTTGGATCCAGGGTTGACGAGGTCCTTGTGAACTCATCCAAGTGAAGCGTTTGCTCTAAAACCCACTCAGAGCCACCGGTGGACTCACACTCATATATCGAGACATGCATAGAGAAGTCTTTTGCAGAGCCCTGCAGCTGAGGACAAGAGGAGCGCTTACTTTACACATGTAATTTCTTAGAATAAGTCATAACCAGTAATCAACCACGAAACGTCAGCTCATAAGACTAAATCATCAGTGCCCTGTGGTAAACTGAAAACCCAGACGCAAGCCAGACTGCTCAAAATAAACCTCAACTCAGTGCATTCCTATTTCGCTCCATAGGATTCAAATACAAAATGAAATAAATTAGATGCTCAGATAGTCAGGTTTTATCTGCTTCACTTAAGTCCAAGGACCGTTTACACAGATTCTTAACAAGCTGAAATGTATCATATGTTTATGCGATCTAGTACATCCCTCAGCACCCTGCTTTACATAAATATGCATTTGTATGCTGATATATGAAATTTATGATCCATTTTCACAGGGTCGGCTATATAGACAAATTGTATTAATTCACAGCATTTACATTTTAATGCAATTTCCCCCCTCATGGTGATTGCCCCACTTAAATTAATTCCCAAAGTGCAAAAGATTTTTAATACAATTCAAAGAAAACATCATTACAAAACCAAAAATCTAATTTCCTACCTGTCCTTGTCGAGGCTGTTTAAAGGCCACTGCCAACCGGCCGATGTAGGAGCAGGACACAGCTACAGGCCGCCCCGACACACACACAGCACTGTTGTTATCTTCCTCCTCATTCATCAGGGCCCAAGGCTCCCAGCGGTATGCCCTGTTGTCATGCTCATTCTCACTGTACCCATCATCACCCTCCACAGCGCAGTGCCAGAACCGCACGCGAGAATCAGAGCAGGTTGTAACAATCAGGTACGGAGCCAGACACACAGGGTAGATAGAGGAGGAGCTTAGGTGACCTGGCAGACAGAAGAGGCACAACAAAAACAGAAACATGTTTTAAATAAAAGTAGAAAATTTGGGACCATTTCGTTTAATTTAGTGACAACAATATGGTGTGAATCATATGTGTGTCCATCCCAACCTGCAGAGGGGGTTGCCCTGGTAACCTCCACCCCGTGGGGCAGGTCGAGTCGCTTGCTGTACACCAGCTTGGAGCTGAGGATGAGCTTGCTGGCTGACTGCAGGTTGGCTGTGGAGGATGACCGTGGCAGGGGTTTGATAGGAGAGGTCTCAGGAGATGAGTCTGCATTCGCAACTTGATTGGGAACCATTAGCTGACTCTGGGAGCTATAATCTGGGCTTGGTTCATCTGGACACAGGGGGATAGAATTATTATAGTTTGGTTTCTCATTTGAAATGAAGTTTTCATATTTTGCAGCATCATGAACACTTAACTGTGGCAATAACTGCTCATTTATGTTTAACCTACACTTACCCACACAGGCCTGCACAGATTTGAGATGCAGGTGCCACATCTGCAGGACAGAGTTCCTGTTGAGATCCTTCTCTATCACCACCAGAAAGAACTTCTCAGAGAATGGAGCAGGTTGATAATCTGTTATATAAGTTAAATCACAATATTAGCTACTTATAAGGACAATGAGATTTGAAAACATATCAGGAAACAAATGCCCTAAGAGTTTATTTATTAGTGTGCTATACCTTCACCAGATGGAAAGGCTCGTGCAAATGCTTCTGGTTCTTTCTGCGGCTTGTAGCCTAGAATGAAGTCCTCTTGGAAGACATGCAGCAGCTGGGTGTTGGCGCCACACTGGATAAACATGGAAATCAAACAGGTTACTATCTTAACTGATCAGAGGGTTTCAGGATTTCAAGATGAGTTAGGTGTGTAAAAAAAACAAAGCTGCTCCTTACCTGGTTTGTGATGACATCCAACTCAATGATACACCCAGGTCTGGCAGTGGACTGCTGGCTGACAATGTTGAACACTTCGCCCACCAGTTTCTAAACATGGTGATATAATATTGATTGCATAAATAAATAAAGGCAGAGTAAAAGTTATATAAAAAGCTAATAACTGTTGAAAAGCCACCCTATCTCAATAACTTAATATCTCTGAATGATGCAGTTACATTAGAATTTTTCCATGAACCCGATTTGGACTCCAATCATGGTCAGTGTGAGCTTTAAAGACCCAGGTGCAATAAAATCACGGAACAGAGACTACCACATCCAAATGAGCAAAACATAATTTTTGTGTGTACACTCACAGAAGTTTCAGGATCTGACAGCTCATCCAGTAATTTTCTGGCATCAACCACCGCTTGATAGAGACGTAGATTTTTGCCATCTGATGCCACAAAGCAGGCACTGGCACTGTTACAGTAAGTTCCTGAGGGACACAACACAAAGTTTGCAGGAAGGCCCAGCAGTTCCAAAGAAAGTTGGAGCACAGATTGAGCCAAAAAGGCTCATTAAATATTTAATAGTTTTTATACAATGTTTCATAATCATTAATCGAGCCATGTGTCTGAAAAAACATATCAATCCCTCCATTATAAAACATTTTGTTGCTTTGAGGTCAGTCATGAAAATATGTAAATTAGACATCAATAATTAAGCATGGAATAAGTATTTTTTCAATACAAATTTTACTACTGTTTAAAATTGGAGATATGCACTTTGAGATTAAAATGTATATTGAAAATATATGGTGTATTTACCGAGCACAGAGCTGGGTACTAGTGTGGGTAGCCAAGCAACATTGCTGAAAGCGGAGGTGTGAAGGGAGTTGATTCGGGCCAGTTCGGAGACTCCTCCAGTGCAGGAGAGGGGTCCAATATGATCCACCCTCCACAGGATCAGCTCACTGTAGATGGCGTTAGGGTCATGGAAGGTCCTTGTAGCTGCATTACGAAGCTGCTTCCTGCTAATGCACAAGTAACACGATCAGAACTCATGGCATTTCAGGCATGTACTCATTATTTCCTTTCTTCTCTTTCTTATACTGTTTTAACACATACAGAGACAAACTAGTAGTCTACCTGCCATTTCTTTCTCTATGTTCTTTACCTGGGAAGTCCCTTTGGTAGGGGAAAGGTAGGAGGCTGCTCTCCCTCCAGGCTGCCGGGTGCTGAGGGAGGGGTGAGCAGAGCGTTATGATGAGAGGAGGTCAGCAGCAGTGGCAGCACTGTGTGGCAGGCTTGGTCGTTCAGATGAAACCGGTGGCCACAGTACCGGAACTTATGAGATACAGTCAATACGTTTGAGAAGGCAGAGCGCTCAGCAAATGTCACTGCCCACTGCAGAGAGAAGGCACAAAGAAAAGTTAAGTGACCACTGTGAAGGGCTGAATTAAAAAAAACACACAATTACACCACAATTTTAAAGAACGTTACAGAAATACAAGTTTTCTGTTAAAACACCTTGTTATAAAAATGTTACATTAAGAAATGTCAATTTTGTTTCTAGCAATCTTTTACCTGGTTGAGAGATCCATCAACATGCTTGGAAACCATCATGACAGCAGGGCTGATACCAGGGCGAGGGTTGAGAGGGGGGGCCAGGGCAGATGAACCCAGACCGTCCGACAATGAAACAGAGTAGGCGACACGTTGAACCATCCTCCCCTGCTCCGCTGTCCCGGCACTCTCAGTCAAAGTGCACGCGTACATCAGGATATTTTTACTCAGTGAGTTGGCATCACCTGTAGGAAATGCCACTGGAATACGGGAGGAGAAGGACACCTGGTGGGAGAGTTGGAGGAAATAAAAAACATTAGAAACAGACAGTCTGACAGACCTATAGAGACCGAATGAGCAATTTATACCAATATGATGTAGTTCATCAGAAGCTCATCTCTGCATCAGCAACAACATTATCAATATGCTGTGTAGCTCTTTTATTAACACAACTGAACCATGGAAATACAGTTTATTGTGTATTGAATGCTGAAACCACTTTCTCCTGTATGTATGGACTTCATGTGTGTTTTGCATTATAAAACTCACTTAACATTAAGGTGTTCCCTTAACTACTTAGTCGATCTCGCCTAGCTCATTTCACCTGTCGTTAAATAATGGTAATTCTGTGCTCAACTTTATTACATGCTAAATTTAACATGGTCTTTTGTCTTGTTGAAGTGGTCTCTGCATTCATAGGTTGGTTAGCTGTGAGTGCAGACGCTTCACTCTGTAACACAACTTACAACTGTAGGTGGAGTGACCGGGTCACACAAGTCATTCTGCCTGTGAAACTTTTCTTAAAGTCTTACATATGGCTTGAGAAGTGCTGCGTCACCTTACATTTTACTACACTACAGCCACTGTGTGTATGAGCGTAGAGAATGTTGTGAATAGGCAGGATGTAAAAAGGTTTTTAGATTCTTTGCTCACCTGAACCTGTCTGAAGATGCCCTGGTTGAATTCGTCCAAGTACTTCACATGCCAAACCAGGAAAGATCCATCAGTAGGGTGTATGGTGAACAGCATGTCTGGGCTCTTGTTCCACTCTGTGATCAGAGTCTCCATCTTCCTCTCTAGCAACATGGAGGGTAAAGGCATGCTGGAGCTGGATCCTGGGGAGGAGGCCTTGGTGCTTCCCTGCTCCCCTGGCTCAACCTCTTCACCATGTTCTGAGGAGGCTTTATCAGATATGTCGTCCAGGTCTAGAATACCAGAAAATATATATTTTTTTATTTATGATGTTGTTTTTAAAAAGAAATGTGTTTTAATCAATGAGCGTTGGCCAGGTTATGGGACATACCAAAGTCAAACTTCAAAGGGGATCCTTCAGGGTCCAGGGGATCCTCTGTAGTCTGGTCCAGCTGCTGTTCAGAGAATTTACGGAGCTGCAGCATAAAGAGGTCCATGGAAGTAGTGAAGCTAAGGTCCTTATTGTTGAGCCAGTGAACCACGAAGCCGCCGCCACCAGAGCCATCGTCTGGGTTGAACACTGCAGAGTCAGCCAGCACAGTTGGGATATCTGACAGAGGAAGAGGAAGGTAGGAGGAGGAAAAGATTTGTGGATAAGAAGCTATTTCTGCTGCATCATTAATTTGGATATTGATGATGTCACTACTACAGAGTAAGTCATTAAAACCATTATTAATGACATTATAGAGCAACCACAGATGATCAATATGAATGGATCTATGGTGAAGAAATACACAAATACTTTTGAGCAAGTTCCAACCAAGACATCCTACCTGTGTTGGGGTTAATACTGGCTGAGATATGAAAGTGACACAGGGCATTGGCGTGATGAGCGATGTGGCGGTGAGTGTGAGTGTCCTGCGTGCCGAGCTGAGAGGGCAGCAGCTCACTATGTGCCACCAGTGCTGAGGACCGTCGTCGGCCGCGGCGCAGATGCTTCAGATGGTGGATTGACTAATCAAGCAAAGCACATGAACACGGAGCACATGTTTTTATTATTTGATCTGATCAGACATAGTATATATATTATATTTCTTTCCATGATTTATTCCTGGTGAGTAAGTGCACCTCTAAAGCATGCTGGATCTTGTCTTTATTGCCTGCCAAGCCCGGCAGGCTAGAGCTGAAGGAGTGCGAGTTCTCAGAGATCTGTCCCCCGAGCAGGCTGTCTTCTGGAAGCAGGGTCTCTGACCACAACCTACACACACCATCCTCGCAGGACGTCAGCAACACATTGCACACCGAACCCCTAGAGCAGGCAAATACAACCACTTTTAACAATCAGTAATGACTTTAGGTTTGTGATTACTTTACATTTTACCCTCAAATATTTAGTCAAAAAACATTACAGCATATTATTGAAATAAATAATTTATTATGAAAGAAACTTAAGTGTCATTGTAATGCTAAACATTTATGGCAGTGCATGCATATCACTGGCATCGACACCATCAAAAAAACAATGCATTTAAAAATGCTCACTGTGGACATAATTAATTATAGAGTAGAAAAAAAAAACAAGTGTAGGTGGGAGTGCAGGTGGGAGGAATGAAATTGAACAGCTCCAGATTCTCATGAGAGCCTGACAGTACATAACCAGGGTGGACTAACTGTTAAATTGTCTTTGTGGCTATGCTAAATACAAATGTATGTCTTGTTATTAGAAACAGGCCTCAATGCCAGGTCATCAACACATGACTCAAAGAGGAAACCATCTCTCTCGTAAAAAACTATGCCATGTTTTAGAAGACAACAAACTCATACTAAAAGGAGCTGCTGACCACCCTGACAGTGTGAAAGTGTCCATGTGTCTTTTCTTACTTGGGCATGAACTTGCTGGTCTTCCTCCAGGACATACCAGTGACCGAGCGAGGATGTGCCAGGTAAACAAATGAGAAGTGAACAGGAGTAGACTTTTTATCGGAGGGGTCGTGGACCACCACTGCAGACCGCCAGCCCGTGGTGGGATACCACACCTTAAGTAAACAGTCATCCTGTATTTGCAAACAGATGAGAGTGAGCATACATTATATGCAAACATCACCACAGGCCTTACGTAAATATAAATGTTCAACAGCTAGTAACATGAATCATACCTTCCCAACTGTTGCAAAATACTCGCCATCAGGAGACCACTTTGCAATGTGAACAGATGCAGCAGTTCTAGGAGAAACAAAAGCATTAACATGTATCAGCTATCTTCACTTCTCCAAAGGAAACTCCTGGTGTTTTTGTGGTTACTTCATGCCTGACTGCTTGTACATTTCAGAGACAGCATTTCCTCATTCTAGTTGCTTTCCTGAGCATGAACATGTGTCATCGGTTGACAATAACCAGTCAGGTATCACATGTCTGTTTACACAGCTTCAAGCACAGGACAGGACATCAAAAGAATGGCCTACAATAATGCATACACACCTTTCATGTCAGGCTGTGTGCAGATGTGTTTGGATAATCAGTAACCATCTATAGGTTTTTATTAGTAAAATTATGCAATTCTACAAGCTTCAAGAAGAAAAACTCAAGTTAATATTTGTCTGCACAGGACAGAGACTAACTGAATTGCATGATGAAAAAAAGGTGTCACAAAAGGTCAGCTTTCAGAAAAAGACAGGCACATTCTGTTCCTCTTTCACTTTCAACAAGCCAAAGTGAAAAGCAGTGAACAGAACTTAATTGTTCCCTCAAAACTAAAATAAACAAATAACATAACTGACATTTTGAAATTTTGGTATTTTCAAGGATGAGAAAACCTGGTTACACAAAGCTTTCCCAACTTGGTATTTACAAGACAAAGAGCAAGAGCTGAGAGACGAAGGAAAGAAAATAATGAAGCCACACAGGTCTAATCAATTTACTGCTTAGCTAGTTACTCTGTGTAACAGGACTTGGCTTGATCTGATTTGATGTACATAACTGTGACACCGCAAGGTTTGTTTTTTACATGGCAATTGTGTCAGATGCTTTTACAGTATGCACAAAAGCAAAAGCTTACTTGCACTGCCAGACACAGTTCCAGTCATTAAGGACAGGGTGGGGCCTGTCCTCAGTCATCTGCCCATCTTCCTCCTCTATCAGGGCATCTGCCAGCGGAGGAGCCCACAGCTGAAGCCGCTCAGTTGCTGCTAGGATACGGTTCCCTGAAGATATAAAAGCACTATCTTACACACCTCATGTCCCACACTGACTACTACAGTACAGAGAGCCACATGCACACAGTGATTGTTACATAACGCACGTGATTCCAGACAAACCACAGAAGCCTGTGAGTAAGAGCTGTGTGTAACGAGGATTGATTTAGTCGGACAGTGAGTGAACACAGGAAGCACAAGCGTACCTTGTGGGTCCCAGGCCAGGTTGTAGGTGATGGCATCGAGGAAGAACTGCCCTGTCTTTTGCCACTGATAGTTAAGCTGCTGTTAGTGACAGAAGAGCAACACAAACCATGCAATGTTACTGGCACACTAGTGTGATTAAACTCACTGGGTATTGATTTAAACATCTACAGTACATGCAGCATGTCTAAAACACTGGCACTCACGCTCACCTTATGCCGTTTGTTTGGGTTAGCGGAAAGAGGTTCAAAGATGCAGACTGTGTTTCCATAGGATGCAGCGATCTAAAAATAAAGAGCTGTGTTCATCATCAAAACATTACTCACCCCATCAATGCTTCTGCACAGTCATTCCCACAGGAGAGGGGTGAGTGGTGCAGCAAAGAGAGGAGAGCATGGCCGTACAAGACTGGAGTGAACGTAGGCCTAAATGTCCTTCTTTATGCAAAGCATAACTGATCACGTTTCCTGGCTACATGGGAAAATGAAAACTAAGATTGGGGGTGTGCAGTCAACACTTACCCTGCCAAGCTGGTGGGAGCACTCCACGCAGCCCACCTGTATGTTTCCATTCTGAGCTCCAGGGATTATCTGCACACACTCAAAGTCACTGGCCAAGATCACTACATCACAACCAGAGCCATAGGCCTGAAAAAAATACACAGGAAGACAAACAATCAGATTGAGCCACAATAGAAAAATTAAATCAAACAGCTGAAACTCAGCATGGTAAATATCACTCCTAAATGCATTTGTGAATGCATATAAAATACTATATAATGTAATATAAACTGAAAGCACAGCATCAGAGCACTTAATTGCACCAATATGAATATTGCATTAGCAGAGTGAGATATTCCAATAGGACAAGACACTACAGCGTTGGCAGGTTGTGGTGGTAATATTAGCATGAACACCACAGAATATCACATAAAATACAAAGCTGACTTACAAACCAAGTGCCTGAAAAAATATAATATACTCATGTGCAATAAAAAAGACATGCAGCACATATTTATTGTCCACACTCTTAAGATTTGGATTATGGGCGGGAAGGTAAAGTGATACACTGGTGGTTTTTAGCAGTTAGCAACCATGTGCAGAATGGCAGCAATGACAGCAGCACCTGGGACACAGGCGAGCTGGCGTCGAAGCAGCAGTACAGTCAGTGTGACGGCGCGTGTTTCATTATTCACGAGAACAGGAGGAGAGGCTGGTAACCATTGGGTCACACACAACAGGACAGCATTACGGCCAGTTTCTTAATATGAAGTGACAGGTGGGGATTAGGTTATGGTGACGACTGTCCTAGGATTAAGCTTCACATGCAATGATATAAAATTTAAGAGACAAGTAGGAGGAGAAGTGAGGGAGATGTGGCCTGTGCTTCTTTATTACAACAGCATTTGCTCCTGCACATTACAGCTGGAATTAAAAGCAGTCACCGTCACGCACGTCTCGGACTGCTCTGCACCTCTCTCTCTCTGTGAAGAATGTGTGAGCCCATCCTCCTCTTAGTAATTGTAATTTAGACCTGGTCAGATCTTGAGCCAGGCTGAGTGTATCTGCCTCAAAGTGAATGATCTAATATAATTGTCCAGTTCTTAAGGATTGAGATTGTGTGTGTCCTGTATTTCTTTCATTATCCACAGATCAACACACAGACACACACAAACAGAACAAGGTACTAAGGGGTGGCAATGCAATGAGTCATTAGCAGTAACAGCAGAATAAGGAGACACAGCATCATGTTAAACGTTGACACAATTTAAACAGATGGAAGAATTTATAGCATGCACAAACGGTGAGGTATAAAATTTCACTGTGTCTTCATCAGCTTAAGTTTTTTGAGTCAGTTTACATCATTGGTTGTTTTTATGTTGTTTTCTTTTAACTGGTAATAAGATGTACAGCAATTAATAAAAACCTCATCTCCATAAAACTGTATGCACTTCTATCAACATGGTATGTTCATATGCTAATAGATTGAAACCACACAATTGACAAACTCTGGGAAGGCCCTTTGTCTAACGCAGTGAAACTCTTTTTCTTCACATTTAAAACACTGATGACAACTACAGAAGTCAGTTCACATTTTGCTAGTTAAGAGCATCTGAAATACTATTTGCATTATTGTAAATGCCATGAGGCAGGTGTATATATACCTGATTTTCATGGTAAATTTAAAAGAAAAGAGCCAATGCAGTCATGTACTGTGGTAATGAAAGACAATGAGAGGAAGTGAGAGAGCTCACTTCTGCATTGACTCAATCAAATACCACTTGCCTAATGCAATCCTGTGGAAATATAACACACACCCAGCTGCTACCATATAAACCATTTTCATGTTTGTGCTTGTGATGAGTTGTTGTAAAAACCCTAAGCTGCAAATATGGGTTAGTTCTGACCTGGAATAACCATTTTTTTCTGTCAATCTGTATTAAAACATTATTGCTAAAGAAAGCTATAGCACAGACTTGTACTTTGATCCCACTGTCTCTATAACCACAATATATGGGCTTTGTTATTCTCTGCAGCATGACTGCAGTGAAACAGCAGACACGGACAGCTACACCAGGTCTGGCTTCCATGTGTCTCCGTACTGTCTGATGGTCCAAACATATCCAACTTAAATCAATGTAGACTGATGCAGACATTGATAGGCTGCATTTGCAGTCTGTGTAGAGCTTAAAACAGACATCCTGTTTGTTTGTTTGTCTATCTTTACATATCACAAATAAATGAAAAAAAAAATACTTGAGAGATGTAATCTAAAATTTTGTGGACAATTACTCTAGGCTAACAACAACATAACAGTTTTTTGGCATGGCTCTGGAACTGTGAGTGATAGAAGCCGTTTCAGTTTCATGCATTTCCTCAAGATTTTCTGTCATTTTGAATTTTGGTACATAATTGCTAAGCTAGAAAAACCTTACTCATTGGTGTCCTGATGTCATACTTTATTTTAAATTGGAAGGAAAAAATTCATACTTATATATACAATATACAGAAACAATATTCCCAGACAACGTTTAGGTACACAGAAAATCCATCTCCAGCCAATTGGGTATATTATCTGTATTTTGATGTAGATCAAGATCCAAATGCATTAAAATAACTCAATTTAGAGAACACAGCCTTGCAGCCTTGGTGGAGGTATGTACTCTCTCTCTCTCTCTGCTATATTTAGCAGAACACACATCTGCAACTCTGCATATCAACCCGAAAGACTGTTTGTGGGAACATGTGTGTGTCAAAACGTAGATAAGCAGAATAACTGTCTTTCTAACCATGATTTTTGCAACCTCTCACTTTTAAAATGTAACAGACAGACAGAAATCACAAGGCTGTTGTAAGCATCGGTTCTGTCATGTTTGTCATTTAATTGACAAAAAACTCGAACCATCTTGAACAATCAAAAATCTGAAATAGCAATTTATAAGCAATTGTGAAAAAGAAGAACATTTTCTTTTGCCTAAATAATGAACAGGTCTCTTTCTACTTCATGCCATCTGGTTACTGCACATTCCTACTCAGTACTGCCTATTACTCAACACAAAACTATATACACACCACCCACTGGCCAATTGGACTGGTAACAATAGGCCAGTATTGCACAGTTCATTATTCAAACTCCATTCAAGTTGCAGAAGCCACACAACACAAAAACAAATAGCAGTGAAATGCTGTAGATTCGCTGTGTGCATGTGCATATGTGTGTGTGTGTGTGTTTGTGTCAGGGTCTGGCCTAAGAGCCCTAGGGGTCAGTGTGAGTGTAACTGCATTGGACGTGATGTCTACTGTTCTTCAAATACCCTCTCAGACACAGATAGAAAACACCAGGCACAGAAACAGGGGCCCTCTGGTAACGTACAGCTTCACCACCAGCTCTGCCCTGTGTTGCTGAGCAGTTATAACCTCAGGCACAGAGCCTGCCTGTTTACATTCAAACAGCCTTGATCTGGGGTCAGTGTTAGGACAGTGGGTGACAACTCCACTCTTTAGTTTTAACAGAAATTATCAGGACAATAAATGAATGCATTATATTCTACAGGTTGACCAATTAATCAATTTGGCTTATTACAGATGTTAATTAATTGTAAATTCAATATATATCCAATGATGCAATTAATAAAAATGGCATGTGACAAAGGGGAAATTCACTTCTTTGATGCGTCATCCTCCAAACTATCATGATCATATCAGCCTTTAAAATCCACTGTTAGTCAACTTCAATACATTCTAATGGAGGTGTGAGGGGGTGTCTGATTATGATAAAAATGAAAATATATATATTTAAAAATAGGCAACTAACTGATGCAGGAGGAAAAGACCAGGCCCAGATTTGGCAGCTATAAGACTGAATGTTCTCAGCATGTGGGAATGGCAGAATGTAACATAGCTGCTCAGAAACTGTGAGCCTGGCACAGCTAAACTGGTGCAGTCACGTTTTTGTTGAACTTGAAGACTTATCTCTTCTGATTTTCAAGTTATGACAAAGTAGGAGCATATTTTGCACCTTCAAGGGTAAACAAACACTATCTGAGAGAATAAAGCTCTGTCATTTTAAAGGACTTGTCAAGACGACAACGCAATATTAAACCAGTCAGGTAGAAGAGAACATAGTGATGGCTTGTGAGGGGTTTTCCTGTGGGGTGATATAAAAGATCATCCAGCTATCAATAAAGTCATTATCATTCATCATCTGCTCTCAGTTGAAGAGCTGAATAACACCACTACTCTACTTCAAAGGGATTGTTCACAGAAAAATGATAATTCACTCACTATCTACTCACCACTATACCAGTGTATGTGAAGTGTCGGGGCCTACGGACACTTGGATGACACCACAGGAGCAGAACGGACTCATTTTCAGTTTTTTTCAGTTTTTGAACGTTTGAAGAAGCGGTCACCAGTTACTTCAACTGTACTGGATTTGGCTGCAACGCTGTTTACCCCTGAAACTCCAAAAGTGTTTTGTGAACTCTTCACCCACCCCTCCATCGGCATAGTGGTGAGTGGATAATGAATGATTTTTTTTCATCTCTTTAACTCCAACCTATCCATTTCATGCACAGACAATGGTTTGGATTTTAAAAACTACTGTGCACCTCATCCTACTTGCCATCACAAGCGAGGGTCTCATATCTGGTACCCAGTGACTGCTTTTCTGGGCTGCACGACTGATGGATCTTGATTGAGCTCTCCAGCACAAACTGACTGGGGGAATGAAAATGAGAAGTTTATTATGCTGCACTGAAGAAGCACTGACAGAAGGCTGGATGCATGTGAAGGTTTTTTCATTTTTTTTTTACCTTCAGCACCACAACACTGCCACTCAGCCCCCCCGGCCCATGTGTCCATATATGGGCTCTCTACGTCACGGCTGGCGCAGCTGATGCTGGGCTGACAGCGGGCTAATGATCCGTGAGGAGGATTTAACGCCAAATGGTAGCACGCTTAGCTACTTCTGCATTCACAATGAAACAGCCTGTCGTCGTGCAGTATCATATTAAAACCGAACCCCGTGCACGATCACCTGAAGTGTGCAAGTGCGTGTGTGTGTGTGTGTGTGTCCCGGTGCAAACACCCTCGCAATCATCACCTTATGGCTGCGCAAAGGGATTCCCTTGCGGTAATTCTTACGTTACGAGATGCAGCTAAAGGTCATTTGAGTGGCTAGCGCTCACTGTTTATAAAGCACCGTGAAACAGCACATACAGCTACATCCGCTTGAAGGGGTTAGCTTGTGGGGAGGTGTGGACGCCCCCACCCCCCGGAGTGGGCTCGACCCGCCGCTTGTGAGTCCGTCGTTTGCGGCAGTTTTAGCTAGCACACCAGCCGGCTAGCTCCGGCGCGTCCACTCGCTAAACCAGCTCCTTTTTAGATCCGATATACAACGCGAGCTAGCACGGCTAACTACCCAGCTAGCTCGCCGGGCTGGGTGTCATCCCGAGTGAGTGACATGGACATAAAGCCTCACCGTGAAGGGGACGTCGTTCACGCTGCCCACCGAGTAGCAGCAGTCTCCCGGGTTCACAGCTCCCGTCAGCACCTGGTGCAGATGCATCTTCCCGGTAGTTCAGCAGCAGAAAGGTGCTTCTTCTCCTCCTTCTTCTTCTTTTTCTTCTTTTAATTATTTATAACGAGTCCACCCTTTCGGTTTCTCCGTCTGGAAACGGCTGGGGATTCCATCGGTGGCGTTAGCGTCGTCCTCGGCCTGGCGGTGTCGTCCTCCTCCACGGGCGGAAAGAGGGCAGCAGGGGGAGGGAATCGGTGCTCAACCCCGGATAAATGTGAAACGGTCCCGGCCCTGACATCGATCTAATCGCGTAAAAACGAGCCGCCCGCTGTCAACACCATCCCCGCGACCAGTCGTGGGAGCAGAGGATCTCTGCAGCGAACCTGACATGCGCGTTCACGACGTTTTCCAGGCACGACAGAACAGATGTAGATCGGTGACGTGTAGATCGGGAAGCGGCAGCCCCCCCCCCCCCCACCGTATTCCACCCGGTGCCTCATTCTTGTGAATTAAAAGGGAAATATTCAACCTCGTGCTGTTTTTCAATAAGAACGAGTGAAAATATAAATCAGTGATTCACCGACTGACTTCTTTCTGGGACCATGTCTGGGACACGGCACAGCCGCTCTAGTATCGTGTGTTCTGTGTTTACAGTGTGCCAGTTCTAGTGTTGGGTCTGAGTTCAAACATCAAGTGATGGGCTCGTCGTTCCATCGCTGACTTTCATTAATTAAACCTCGAGACATAAAAACCACCCAACCTTCTTTTTTACACTCATATATAACCTGTATCTGTGACTTTTGTGGTTTTGTATTTGTGTTGTGTGAAATGAACGAATCTATATTAAAAGTAAAGAAATAAAAAAGTTTTGTGTGTGCCTTTTTTTTTTAAAGTTTCTACTTCATGCAAATATTAACATTTCGTCTTTGCATAAAATACTGCATGAGAAATAACCATGCCTTGAGTTTAACTTTTCTTCTTCTTTGGCATTGACAATAACAGTAATTATTTGGTTTATTTTGTACTAAAATACCCAATGTTTGTGGTTTCTGCTTTTTGAATTTGAGAATTTATCATAACAATAAAATATATCTGCCACACAAACGTAATAGTGAGAGTAGTATTGAGCAGATTCAAAGAACAATCCACCTATACACAAGTTTGGAAATATCTGTGTATGTGGAGAAATCTTATAATAACACTTAATGTAGTTATATTATCAAACAATAGCATAACACCTTCACATACAGTAGCTTCAACAAAGATGCTGAATGCTTATGTTAAAATATACAGTATACCTGGTTAATTGATTCTGATTAATTGTTTAAATGTCCATTTTGAATCTGACAATATTATTGAAAATGTACAATTTAAATATGTATTTTTCAAATGTCCTGGGTAAGTGTCCTGCCATCTCATTGCTCATCTTTCATGAGACACCACTTGACACCACAAGATGCAACCTACTGTGACAACAGTCCTCCATATTTTACTTTCTACAGAGTCAGAGTGAGTGAGAACTAAATCGAGCTGAGGTTCATTGTATCTGCAACCGTCCCTAGACTACTTATCTACTCTTCCTGATGGGATTTAATGAAGCACATCACCAATGTTTCTCTTTTGTACCCATTCTCATATATATCCATTGTCATACTTTCCTTTGTTGTTCTAGATAATTGATGAGAGGACTGATAGGGATCCGTGGCAGTGATACACAACCCAACCGTCGTAGCGTTAGCCTAGTTATTTAAGGCCCACTGACATCATCAGGCGCGGCCGGCCTTCCAGCCAACATGACACACAGGACAGCACAACATAATATTGTGAGGCAGTCACCCAGAGAGAATGTGACACATGCACATAAACAGTGTCAACAACAATGGCCAGGCACAGTCATCATGTAGCATGTGTAATATTGTGTCCATTTAGCATTTACTGAATTCCACTATCATGAACTGCAAGTGTCAGACAGCTGTTCTAACAAAATCTGACCACAATGACTTCTGCAAAGCAAAATTTTCCAAAATGGGAAAATACTATCACCTTTCACACGTAAGCAAACACACATAAACACACATACACACACACATCCATTATCTATACTGCTTATGCTTTAGGGGTCGCGGGAAGCTAAAAGCTGGAGCCATCGCCAGCATATTGCAGAGTCAACATATCGCAGCGCCAACATACAGAGATAAACAACCCTGCATGCAATCTCCCAGATGAGCATGAAGCATGTTGTGAATCAGATAACCAGGTAAAATGAAAGCTAGCAATTTTTTTTTGCCAGAAAGACCGTTTGTGTTCCTTTGTCCGTAGCTAATTTCAAAGGGCAGTCTGCTGTGGGGGCATGTGAGTAAGACTGTGAGTGTGCCTCGCTCCCAGCTGTAGCTACCTTGAAGCACCTCTCTCTGGCTATAAAAAATAAAGATAATCAAGCTATAACACGCTGACCCTTTTCATCAACCTGAAGGAAAATAGATGGACAGGTTTTGTGCAGGAGTCCCAGCTAATCATTTGTTCCTATTCATGCTGAATATTCATTAGGCTATGGATGACATCTGCTTTTTATTGAGACGTATATGTCTCTATCAGAGGTGCAATTGGCCAAATGGGGTGAAATCATTGCAAAGAGAACAGAGCAAACAAAGACGTTCATAAGGATGCAGCTGATATAGCATAAACTGTGAAGACAACAGTGCAAATGCTCACACAAGTGTGAAAGAGATGCAGAGATGGTGGACAACACCATGTGAGTAACAGAGACTGTACCTTTGGATATTGCAGTAGGGTTGGAATGATGTTGATGCAGTGTTGTACCAGTCCCAGCGCTGCCATTGGGAGACATAGCCTTGATCTACAGTGAACAGAATTAAATGCATTATAGATTTTCTCATTTCATGGATGGCTGCTGGCTGGAGGGAGCTCCAGTGTGGCCCCAAGGTGCACGGCATTCTGCTCCCCAGGACCAAAATGTAATGGGACTTTTTCTACAGTCCAAAGTAAATAAATCAGTGCATAGAGTTGAAAAACACTGAATCATGACACAGCGATATTTACAGTAAGAAAGCCTTTGTTTTGGTGTCAGAGCAGAGCAGATATACAGAGTTAGAAAAAAAAAGGTGGAGCACAGTGATATTTTGTGTCCTCACATCAAATGAAGAAAAGTGAATCTCACTTTTCTAAAAGACCAAAGATGTCTGTCATGGTGGTTGTACTGTAGGGGAAGGCATAATCAAGCTATTAGCTTTTACACAGACACACACACTAATGGTGGGTAGATTTATACATCATCCAAACATATCTATTAAAATAGCATTTTCCTCCTCCATTATTAAAAAAATCCCTCTCCTCCTGACAATGCAGCTAGCATAAACATGTCAAAGCAACAAGCGCTAAACATAAATCATTCTGGCCAATCAGGAGCCTGAAGAACAGTTATTATAGATATTATAGACATAGATATATATTGAAGTGTTACAAGACATAAAAGATGATTTCCCTCTCTACACGACAACTCTGACAGCTGCGTTTCAAACAAATCTCCACCCAGGACGAAGTTAATTTAGGCCAATACACAAATTAAAATTACTGTATAAGAACAATAACGCTGGTGTGCAGGGAGACAGGGCCTTAGAGTCACATGAACAAAATGTTTCAAGATATTATTTCAGGGTATTAGATTAAATCAAACCTCAATGCAATCTGAGGCATCAACTATGAAATGCATGCAGGCCTATGCTGTTCTTTGGTTCCTATGCTGTTCTTTGGTTCTTTGGTTTCCTTGCTGTCAACTTGGAATGCAATTGAAATGCGTTGTAATGGCAGAAAAGTAAAGCTAGATTCTGAAGGACAACGCGACATATGTGTGATTGGCTGTGAACCCTCATCCAGGCACTTGTGAAGAGATTTCTAAAGACGCTGAAGGACACAGAACAAGGGGGGGATTTGGAAGCTGGCTCGGAAAATGGCCACTCAAGTGTTCAGCCGTTCAAGTCTATTCAAGAACAGATGTGTGGTACATGCCTCTGGTCTCATGCTGCAAGTACCCTCTATGTCTCTAGACTCATCGGCCTGGTTGTATTCAGCTGTAACAAATGAAACTACTGACGGTTGTTGTGGGATGAATTGATCGCACTAATAAATACAATGTATGAATAAGTTAAAAATTGCACAATTCACTATATAAATGTAAAATAGTCCCCAAGACCATCAGCATAGAATTGAAATTTGATGTCGTATTATACATTTATTACACAAACTAACCTTACAACCACTAACTACAGTAAAGCTTAGTGATGGTGGTATAAGTCTGTTTACATCAATAAAAGGCTCAGTTTTTTCTAAGCAGCTGCATATAACACAAAATTCTCACAAGCCTATCTTTTCAGTCTATAAGTCAAATTCAACCAAACAGCACGGTTAGATAAGACAACCACAATAAAACGTCTGAGCAAGTTTTATTGGGGGACAGAGATCACCCTTAATCTCTGGTGTAGGGTCAGAGCCCTTTTAAAGACACACTATGAAACCTTTTTACCTTAAAATAACAGCTTCAAAGTTAGTTTGATTGCTCACTGAATTAGAATAGGGAGGACGCATTGATGTTATTAAAAACCAGCGTTTATCTTTTATATTCAGCAAGGAAACTTTTAAAATATGAAGAATTCTAAACAGAGTTTGGTGTGTTTGTTACAGCAGCAACTCTTCTGGTTCAGGAAGCCAGGGATCATGGGCAATAGCCACTGTTCGGTTGAGTTTCAGTTCATTTATCTATCTATCCATCTATATTGCAATGACAGTCTGTAAAAGGAATACCTGAATTTTGAACTGCATGTTTTACTTCTTTACTAATGTCATGTTTATTTTACTTACCTGCCTTTGCCCTTTCCTCTGTTGCAGTAATCTCTTATGAAACTCTATGACTCACATAGCTCCAGTGCTTGCTGCCTTCATTGCTTATGCCGGCATAGACTGTCTATGGCTTATACACACTGAGAGCAGAAAAGGGTTCAAACTATCTTTTGTGGAAATCTAAAGCACTGCAGCTGTTAGTGTTTTCTTGTTCAGGCACATCCAAAGCATCCTATTATTAGATATGTTTGCTATTGTTGTATGATATAGCGCTCTGTGTTCCCTGTGTGTTGCCACCCTGACTGTCAAATTGTAAAGAACCCTAAACCTATGATTCTTCTACTGTGAGTTGTTTCAAGCATTTGAACAATAGTTTTAGCACAATATGAGGTTTAATAATGATAATGTGTGAATGCAGTTAAAATAACCTGCCTCATTTGTTAAAGCTACTCTGTAACATTACCTGTATTAACCTCTGTGTTTGAGTTCAATGCAACATTTTTAG